TAACATAACATAAAGCCCAGCGAATGTTGGAGACACATTGTTTACGAAAACACGAGGCTATCAAATCTTTGAATTGACATGCACACCCTAGCACTGACTATCGTAAATTGTACGAGACCACATGTCCGTTATGAGTAGACGCCTAAATTACTCCGCCAAACTGTCACTTTCCCAATCGAATGGCACTTTCACTAACGCCATCAACCCACAAACATTCTTCAAAATGCACTCCCTACCCGTTCTAGTACTGAGGTCGAACCACTTTGTGGCCGTAATCCTGAGTGACTGCGACGGTATAACCCCGAGTTTCAACTCCTCTATATAGCCAGCCTCCATATCGAACTGAAGAAAACACACATAGTTCCGTGTAGCGTTTATGATGGTCACACTACTTAGTCAGTCGCTAGATTGACGAAGGATAAATGTACACACCTTCCGTCCTGGAACTCATCCAGTGGATCAACTGCTCTTGCCAAGATAGCTTCACATGTCATCTGCGACAAGCACTCGTCCGAAATCACCGGCTTGCCCTCAATCACCTTGAGATTTCTCTTAGCTTCGAGTAGCGCAACCATATTCCTTGCCACTGTAAATCGGCCGTTCTCCTCTTCCACCTTTAGACAAAGCCCACCATCATCTATAGCCGTAACTTCGCCGCCCAAGTCTAGAACTTGCAGACTCATACGCTGACGTGTATCTCGGAATTCAATTATAGGCGTTGACCCAGGAAGCTGCGTGTAGTAGAGAATGTGCCGCATGACGCATGATATGAGCCTCACAGTATTGTCCTCTGGTGGAAGATCCCGAGTCGGTGCTTGGTCGACGTAGCCGATAGATGAGTCGGGCGTCCCTCCAAGCAACTTGCTGGTAGGGCTGCTGGAGCCGATTTGAAGAGTACCTGAATCAACAAAATCTTTGCAGTCCGTATTGTACCTCAGTCTCTTGCTCTCTGGAGTGCCTTCATTATTTGTAGGTATAGCGTCTTTAATAACATCTAAATCGGCCACACCCGATCGCCGTGCTTTCACAGCCGCTACCGTAGCCCAGACTTGCCCCAGCGATGTGCCGTATTTGTGGACCAGGTAATGTTCGCTTTGACCCAGGTCGTTGGGGTCTGGTCCTTGGAAAAAGTTATCTATCTGCCGCCTAGCTTCATCTGATATGCTGTGATCAAATGTAATGTGATCATTCTTGTACCCCGGGAGGAGAGTGTCCTGTGCTGGTGAGATGACGACATGGCATGTGAAGAGTTGTTCGCGGCCCCAATTACTGGCGGGAGTTTGCAGGTTGGACAGAGAGAAAGTGAGATCATTTGCTGGCTCAGATTGGAAGGACGAGCGATATGCACGTTCTGATCTTATGGCATCGAAATACGGCTTTGACATCTTGAGCGGGGGTTGAAAACCTTGGGAGGTCTGTATTTCCCCTCAGGCCTAAATGTGGTGCACTCGATGTGCGGTATATTTGCACTAACCTCTTAGCATTATTGAGGGCCCGGCCTTCTGACTGATATTGATAAGTCTGAAGTACTTACCCGCCAGGACCGAAATTGGTATAGCTCTTTAGTCGCTTCGTGGCTAAAATCAGAACTGGCACCATTGGCCCACTCAACCAGTCGGAAATAGGTGAGTCCGTCTCCGCCCTTTGCATGTCGTTGTAACGCGTCACGTCATGACGTGCAAATTCATCCGCCCAACCACAATGCAACTGCCAACGACAAAGTCCCTACACAGACTAAGCATCGAACATCCATGGTTCGCCGTGCATCCTCTGCTCTGGACATCGCAGCATCTGCGTCTCCTGGGCTTTCAATTCCAGCACCTTGACTCTGCTCTGCCTCCCTCTACCTCATCCTTAATGGCTGCCGACAAGATCCTCACAATGCATTCCCGCAACCTAGCAAATATAGACTCACCGGTTGTCAAGTCAGTATCCGTTGGTCATTTACTGCGCTGCAAAGATAGTCCCTTAGAGAAAGTAAATGGCTCGCCTCCTTTCACCTTCGCCGGGCGCGACGTGCATTCACCAGACTGCGATATCTTCCAGGTGAGCACAACGAGTACCCAACAGCGGCCGATCATTGGTTATTATCACTATGACAAAGTCACTCGAGAACGTCAACGAGTGCTGAGGCCAAAATCACATCCTGGCGATGGCTGCAATTATCCCGTATCGAAAATGTATCAGCGCAAATTGCGGACTGTTACCCCCCCGCTCTGGTTTGAGGATTTGTATTTGGTCTGTGTTTTGTTGTCCTTGGCTCAATTGCAATGGCGGAAGCGTCGAACGCCACGACCGAAGACCTTCATGGTGAGTCTACCCCCTTCTCCGGTTTTACTCATTCCACTGACAATTCTGAGGCGCGGTTGCTTGTAACCAATAAATCCGACACCACATTTGCGCACATCTTTCAAGCTGATATACCCCACGAACTCCTCGATGCCCTCAACGATCCGATACTTGACATGGAGAGCTTTATGTGGCCAATGATCGAGCATCTTCGGATCCCATTTCAACCGTATGCGAGCTTTGCCAAACGGATTATTTTGCAGTTGGTGGGCTATGAGTACAGTCCTGCTGTCGAACCTCAAGCTGAGGTAGTGCAACGAGGAGAGAAGCGGAAGCGTGATGAGTCGGATGCTGTGGGACAAAGGAGGAATGTAAGGAGCTGGGACTCGATGCAACCTGCAGCAGTGTCAATGGCTAACAGATCGAGGTTTATCAACACAATCAAGTCTGATTCAATCGTATGCTCGACTTTCGAGACTCAAGCGGAAAGCCGCAATTCGCTCCGTGGCCTCGGACAAAAGACGAAGAACGCAAGCCAATATCGCTACAAATCGCATCACTGGAGTATCCCCACGGCCGGGTCGTCACAGCCAACTGCCACAGCCGGGTGCGGTTCGGCCAGCTCGGAGCAGGGGACATTGGACCCGTTGGAAGTGCCAAAATGTTCCTGAGTATGATACTCCGTGGGTGTTGGGTGTCGCAGATGGTAGCTTTCATGGCACATCAGCTTCGTATCCACCTCAACCAAGGAGCACGTGGCGGCGGTGACACGGCAGAGCGTCTCCGATGATTGCCGCGTTTCGGTGCCATTCCAGATGCCTGGGAGCAGAGTGAAGAACCATTTAGTAGCGGTTAAGTTGGAACTATCCGCCAAGCAACCCCATGTTTCCTTTTTGTCACAGCAACGTGAACAATAGGCTGATTGAAGACTGCAAGTCTGGCTGGTGAACTCAACCATTATGGGGCAGAAACATGAGGCCTAATTTACCATGATATTGACATACAGGCAATTTGACAAGCTGTTATTGGGAATGGCCGACGCTAGCGAACCTATGCCTTTGCCTGCTCCTTCCAGGTCGAACAAGGCACGAAGCCGCTTCGCCATCGAGATTTACGACGCGGGCCTAAAGGGCGATGAGACTGTCATACAAGCTGTAGCATCCAAGAATGCTACCTGGCCATTCATGCTGGGCGAAGTATGCGCCATACGAGGGGAAGAAGTGTGATAGACCTTTAGTGGATTGGTGCAATGGCGCGAAAAACTAAGCCAGAAGGCCTCATCAAGTGTGTCGAGTCTGCATGCTGAGATGGGTCCTTGGAGAGCTTTTGTACCTTCCTCACTTCTGGGCTGTCATATTCTTTGATGGTCACTCACGGTGATAATGCTCACTCAGCGAATATCTTGGTTCTTACCTGATCTCGTATGTTATGGCGATGTGAAAGGCATCGTAATAAGCCCGAGAGATGGTCGCATCATCGTTCCCTTCACACGTGAGTAGGTGTGATAACCTCTGCACGTGCTGGAGCATCCCGAGCGACGTAAGAAATACTGCCAATCCATCGCCAGTGGCGTGGTTAAGTGCTTGGGTTTACATCAAGCTTCTGTCACTCTTGCGGCCAGCGGCTGGCAAGAAACAAAGGTTACGGATACAATCAAAGCGGAATTTATCTTGAAGGACATGATGACAAGGCTCATGATTCCAGCTGCAAGAGGGCCTAGGTTCTTCTCAAAGATCTTTCGAAAAAGGTGCAGACAGGCAGATTCAGGCATTGTGGAGGATAATTGTTGAATTTCTACTATAATCCACTGTCAGGTTCAAAAGAGCCACGATCTTGATATCTCAAATGAAACAAGGATACGGGGTAGTATACTTAAGCAGGAACAGATGGAGAAGAATAAAATTCATTTCGACGAAAAATGAGTGCGACACCAACTCGAGAATGGCCCCGCACGAAAAGTCTCACGGTGGGCCTCCCGCGTACTGACCGGCTGGTGCTAGTTTCGCTTCATGCTACGATATCACTCTTATTATTATGCATATGTGCCACGCAATCATGACCTATTGGACAACCGTCGAAAGGCGCAGTCGTATCCTCCAGTGTCTGAAATTTATGTGAAACTGATGTACAATGGAGAGATTTCTGAGTTCCAGCCAACAGGTTGTCTAAAGGCTCAGGTATAGCTTTGCTGCCTAAGATGCCAGGCATCCAGGCTAACCGGGTTGCATCCGCCACAGATTTTCAGCCGCTGCTCACCTTTGCCAACACGCCTGCTTCCTGCATCTTTTGAACATCAATGAACCTGAGCCTTACGAGGAGGAATTTCTGCAATTAATATAATCAGTGGCGTGATGTGCGGTAAAGTAACCTCGCTCAAGCTTTTCACTTCCAACTTAGCCTCGTCACCCTGCGAGAATCTTCGTCCGAGGGCCAGGTCTGGGTCACGACTCCGCCGCAAAGGGTTCATGACGGCCTTTTTCCTCATACAGCCGAACACCTGCCGTGGCCATCGATCTGTTGTCTTTTCCAAGAATAAAACAAAACGATAACATCTCTCTGAGAAGACGGTGTTTTCAATGACACTTTTCACGCAGGAAGTTCACAATACAGGGAATGGCGTAGTGGTACCCAATTCCAACATCTTACCAAAGCTATGCGACGAACAGCAAAATCTGGTGGACTTGATTCTATGTGGACGCAATGTTTTTTCCACCGGCTCAGCAGGCTGCGGAAAGTCTACTGTTTTAGAAGCTGTTGTCAAAGAGCTAAAAGCAAAGTACAAACGAGTTGACATCATTGCTCCCACTGGTCGGTCTGCACTTCTAGTACAAGGCATGTCGACTTGGTCTTACATGGGCTGGACACCCGACTTTCATAAGTATTCTCTGGAAAGATTGAAAAGCGAGGGATTTCGCACCTACGTCGCGGCTCGTCTGAGACGTACTGAAGTTCTTATCATTGATGAGATCAGCATGGTTGAGAATCATCATTTGGAGCGCATAAATATCTGTATGAAGGAAGTTCGATGCTGGGACTCAAATCTCAAAGGTCCTTCTAGCGATGCCCCTGCCTTTGGAGGAGTTCAAGTGGTTGTGACAGGAGACTTCTGCCAACTACCTCCTGTGAGACCATTCCAGTTCTGTTTGAACTGCGGACTGGAGACAAATCTCGATAGTGATGGACTTAAGTATAGCTGCCCTGAAAACCACGGGCCGTTCAGGGACGAAGACAAATGGGCCTTTCGGAGTGCTGCTTGGGAAGAAGCAGGGTTTACTTACGTCAACCTTCAAAAAGTTCATCGTCAACATGATGCTTATTTCATCCAAATGCTTCAGAAGTGTCGATTTGGGATCCCATTCACAACAGACGAGATCACAACGCTGATTAATCATCCCCATAATGTTGATAAAGCAACAAAACTCCTCTGCACAAGGCGCGAGGTTGCCGAGATCAATTCGAATAGCTTTCGAAAGCTCAAGACCCCCGTCTACATGTACAAAGCTTTGGATGGTTTCGAATGCGGGCAAAAACAGCACTTGAAGTTCGACCGCTATACCACTCAAGATGCGGATGGACACTTATTAGCATGCAAGGACCACAGGCTAGAACAGAGCGTTTCATTGAGGGGAGGTATGCTTGTTATATTGCAGGTGAACCTTGACATTGAAGGCGGTCTCGTCAATGGAAGCCAAGGTGTTATTTATGGATTTGAAGAATTCGACCTTACGAAGTTTTTAGGTGGCAAGTATGACAGAGACGCGACGCCTTCGTTCAAACTGTTCAGTGGGGGACATGTAGCACTCAAGCGAAGACAAGTGACGGAATTCATGAAAGTTCAGCAGAAGGCAACACGAGGACGTATGGGACCGATTGCAAAGACGTTCTGGCCACGAGTGCTGTTCCACAATGGAATGAAGTGCACTATATATGCTGCATGTCTTGTCAATGCAATCGGTGACACAGAACCATACTCCTTCTTGCACAGAACCCAAATTCCTCTGATACCTGGTTGGGCAATGAGCGTCCACAAAAGCCAGGGTATGACCCTAGACCGTGTGATCATAGATCTGTCCAAAGCTTTTGTGGCAGGCCAAGTTTATGTCGCTTTATCAAGAGCAACAGGCCTTAAAGGTCTCAGGATTGACGGCGATAGAGAAGCACTTACGGCATCGTTTGAAGGTGACAGGTCTGTGCAGGACTTTTTGAAGAATAAATTCGGGATGACTCATGTCCTTCAAAGCACTGCTTCAACGCAGCAAGCAGAGCTGATCAAGAGCTCGCCTTGTAGATAGAGATTCCGCAGTCTCTGAGAAAGACACGCCGGCATACGCGATTTAGCAATGAACTGGAGGCTGCCATTGGAGACATGGAACAAGGTCGCTTGCTGAAAGGGAAAGCAACCCCAGCTTGGCTAGGTGGACGCTTTCTGCTAGTCCTAGTGCTGCCGCGGCCCACTCCCAATGTGCCAGACACGACGTTATTCCGCCGAACTGGTCGTTGTGGACGGTAGTTGGCAGGTTGCGTAGTATCCAGCCCCCGTCGAAGATTATTCCAGATGTCATCATCTGCCCCGTCAATCTGCATCTTTGTTCATGTCGAACTGCTCCAATGCGACAGCCCGGAACCGATCAAGTGCCCATACCCTCGTGAGGGACCGGCAGATGGTAAGGCTCAAGATGGAGCGACGGGTATTCTGCGCAATAAGCACCTCCCTCCCCGGATTATCTCCCCAGATCAAGCCACGCCGTCAAGGCCTTGTCGGTGGGTGGGTTGCTCTTCAGCTGTCCAGGCACCGAGACCTGCGACCAGCGACATCTCGAGTCTTGTTCAGCACTTAAATCGTTGACGAAACTGGTTTCCAACCTGCGCTCTGCGGTAGAACCTTGTGTTGGCTTATTGGGCTGGACCAGAGGCCGTCGTCGATGATGATGCGTTAGGCATGGCCCGTGGATGCCTACGAACGTCGCTAGTTTGTCGCTGAAGTTGGCAGACCAGCTCAACACATCATCCTCGTTCGCATCCCTGGGCCGTCCTTTCAACCGTCTTCAAGCAGCAGATCACTGCGTTCCTCGTACTGCTTTGGAAACGCCCGGGACGCTGCGTCAAGGCAGGCCACGCCTCCAAAGTATGCGTCATGAAAGCGGCGGGACCCGACACACATAGACCTAGGCTCGTCTTTTAGCACGTCGTCCACTTATTTGCCACGTTCGGAGGAGTTTGCGAAGCTGCTTGCGTCGCGCAGTCATGGGGTGTGTTGGAGCAAAGAGGCTATCGATCGGTGAGGCGGGGTGTGTTCGACAACAGCGTCATAGATTTGACACCAGATGGAGGCATCGGATTTACTGGCGAGGGCTGACTTCAGGAGAGGTTTGACAGTGTCAAAGGCAAATTCGTGGGGGATAACAGCAGAAATGGGTCTGAGGAGATCGCTTCGGAGGATGCCACGCCCGGTATTTGTGAGGAGCAGACGCGGGGCTGCATGGCTTAGCAGAGTGAAGAGGAGAAGGAGCGTGAGATATCGAATATCTATAGGCAGGCTAGTTAGATCAGTGCTGCAACAAGGTTTGGTCGCCACGCCTATACAAGTTCATCTAGAGCATCAGGAGCGGAAGCGCTCCGGACGGGGTAAGTGAGAAGATAAATTGGGAGAGTAACGTTCTACGATGGCATTCCCGTGATGAGATCCACACTTAGCCAATCATAGTGCGACGCTTGATGAACCCGGTCTTCCCGTAAGCGCGCACGGATCACAGAATATGCTAAGCCAGCGATTGTTGATTGGCTGTATTCGATCCACTCCTTCTCGCTTGAGGGCGGCACTGATAACTGATGAACAATCGGGGTTCAGATAGGAGAAGGCTTTTTCTCTGTTGACTTCCACGAAATAGAATGCCACCTCTGAGATCATGATAGCCGCGGATCCACATTATACACAGCACAATCAAGATCTGGCGTCTGTTGTTTTTCTTGATTCGATATTACGAACTTTGCCGAGGACACCCAATCAATTGGCGCCACTTTGAAAGGCCAGGCTCGAGCCGGTAGCCAATCTTGGGAATTGAAATCGCGTCCCGGCATTATCAGGGATGTCAAATGGCCACCGCTACTCAAACCCGTGGGGCGAAAAGACGAGCATTATCCCAACTTGAACATCAGGAAACCGCCTTCAGTGAGCCCTATGACGCGGGCAAAGATGGGGATTTTCTCAGTGATAAAGTCAGTGGTAATGGTGGACACCATAAAAAACGGAAGCAACCAACGGGGATGAAACAACAGCAACAACAACAAGAGCAAAAACAACCAGGCTGGTGGCCAGAGGAGTATGCACCTGAGAACCCAAATTGCCCCGTCATCGTTTCAAGAATGAACAAGGTGATCAAAAACTGCAAGGGCGCAAAATACCCAGTAGAAAACATATGGGACGACGACGGCTTTATGGTCAAGGCAATTCAGCAAGCTAAGTAAACCACAGTCACGCAAAGAACATTCAGCAGACTTGAGTATCCATTTCCTCTCGGAAAAAGCAAAAAAGGAGTCGCCAAAGCGGGCCCTGAACTTCAACGGAACAGCAGCAATGTTACCGGAAGCCATACGCAACACGTGGCCACAGATGCTCCTGCACTCCCTCTACCAGACCAAGACGGCTCGGATGAATCGCCTCTCAGCAGTAAAGACTCGATGTCCGGTTCTCACAATGACAAACTGAGTAAATCACCGAATCGTCCTCTTTCTGTTGACAGCGACAAGAGCTTTCCTGCCCTTCCGACACTACCTCCAGTGTCCGAAACCATATCCCACCTCAGGGGCAGCGACTGGCTCACAGACAGTGATATGTTGCGCTGTGTGGAGCTCTTGAAAGCCTCTAATGAATGGCATATTTTCGATCCGGGATATCCCTCTGAGGAGTCCAAATTGTCCGGGACAAACAAGATTTCTGCAAATAACCTGATCTTCTTCATCAATGCCAAGCACCACTGGTCGCTTTGTCATCTAGACAGACAACTAGGGCAGCTCAAGCATTATAATCCTCTTCCGTGGAAGATGCCGGTTGATGTCCTGAAGTCATGGATACTGGAACAGCCGAGAATTGGGCCTACTGATGGACTCAACATTTTCGAAGAAGTATGGGCGCGGTTTGATCAATGATTGTTCTGTTCTTGGAGCTAACACTCAGCAGAAATGTCCCCAACAAGAAGACGGCTTCAACTGCGGTATCTTCACTCTGGCTATCTGCCAGGCTCTGGTGAATGGGAATCCTATCCCATTGGAAGTCGATGCCAATAACCTTCGCAGTTTCTTTGCCAAACAGCTTGAGAGTCCTATAAGTTCGGAACTTGCCAAGCCCTCCAGCGAAGCTGCATCTCTTGGAGTGCCACGAATAGACTGCCGACCGTTATTTGAGCAGAGCCATTCCGACGCCGACAACTTTGGCTTCCTTGACAACTCTGGAGAGCATGACATGAAAATTTCTGACACCCTAAATTACTTGGACAAATTTGAAAAGTGTTTGGGAAAAGCAAACGCCAATCTGACAGAAGATATGAAAGCCCTTGAGAAGCACAAGGGCAAAGTGGTAGAAATGTTGCAAGAACAAGATGCACTTGAACAAAAGCTGGAAAACGAACAGAGGTTGGCAGCTGATCTCGCGGGGAAGGTTGAGCAGTCACAGATTGATTATAAAGGAGCGTGCGAATGGTTGAACCAACACGGCACGGGGCGCATTGTTGAGCCTGCGAATACATTGCTCAATAAGATCATAACGGATGCCAAGTCGATGATTCAGTCATCGGCAGCAGATATCGAGTCATGCAAGGAAAGATTGGAAAGCATGCAAGCAAATTGCGACGAATACAAGGGTACGATAGAAAAGCTACAGGTCGAAATCATTTCTAGCACCAGACAGAGAGATGTGATAGAGGAGAGGGTTAAGAGACAGAGAGAGAATTTAGCACATGTAGATGAGAAATTTGCCAAGGTTGCGGTGCTGCGGGGTTTTACTAAATGTAAGAATTAGACGGGCAAGATGCTGTAAGGAGTATATTAATATGCAAAGGTTTGCAGTTGAGATTTGTGGCTGAGAGCTTATTCTGGCGGACAGAACTTAGTAAAGTAGATAATAGTTGAATGTTATTATTAGTAAGATTCTGGAGTGATAAAACCCTGGAGTGATAAAACCCTGGGGGAATAAATTCTGAGGCGATAAATTCTGGGGCGGTAAATTCTGGGGCGATAAATTCTGGGGCGGTAAATTCTGGGCGGTAAATTCTGGGCGGTAAATTCTGGGGCGATAAATTCTGGGGCGATAAACTCTGGGCGATAAATTCTGGGGCGGTAAATTCTGGGCGATAAATTCTGGGGCGATAAATTCTACGCCGATAAATTCTTTGAAACTAACATGCTGTCGTCAGCATTCGCTTTCTTGGCTTCTTCAACTTCTCGTTCACCATGGGCTTAATGCGCTCATTTGACATGTGACTTCTGCGTTAGCCTCTTCGGTTTCAACCTGTCGTCTTCGGTCCGGGATTATAGCGACGGTTTTATCAGGTGGGATGTCCAATCAAATTTGCGAATCCAAACCGACTCGAGACTCCACGATCGTGATAATTTTCATAAAAGCTCAACATTAGACACAGGTATGTTATTGAGTGACTATTTTAGCCTTCTGATAGTTAGATTAGTGGCCGTACTCGCTGCCATACGGCTTGTACGACACCGTCTTCGTGAACTAATATCACTCCACCAATCTTGGCATGCGCATCGAAGTTCTTACTGATCTTCCTTCTACCACACCATCAAAGTCCATATTGTCCAAGATGAAGGTGAGTGTTCATACCAAGGTCAGAGTCAGGGGTACGACCATAGAAGGAAGTATCCGCCGTCTTCATTACATAGTCACGCGCTCGCTAGGGTACTGACAACTGACCAGTGGGAATTTGTCTCGTACATCCCCTTGAGCCACTCTCAACCGGTACCCTGGCTGCTCAGATCTTGACTTCGGGGCTACTCGCAAGGGATATCAATCCCAGACGCCCTGGTGGCATTTCAGGCTATCGTGACGGTCTCCTCTGTCTTCCGACTGCCAGCCCTCACTGTCAAGCGACAAATGAAACACTTGCAGATTTTCAATTATCGTCTGCGCGATACTACAGCCGTGTTCGTCCCCGTTTGGCACAAAGCGCCCAAGATCCAATTCCCTAAGCGTTTTCGCATGTCTGACAAGGTAGTCTTCGAGCTCGCGCTCCTGGCATCCCACCCCCACGAGAGTGAATCTCTTCAATAGAGGAATAGTGACATTGCAAAGGATACCCGTCGATCTGCTGGTTTCGTCGTAAGTTTCAAGACTAAAATCAGACAATGCTGGAATCTGACGGAGAGACTTGTCGAGGCTTATCCGTTTGCTGAACCTTTGATCAACGTAGAGGTGAAAGGAGCAAAGGTTGACAACTGGAAGGCATTCCAGTCGATGCAGTAGCAGACAGGGGATGAAACAACGGGCATTTTGAGCAAATAACCGAGTAGAATTATTGATTTCTCCCATCTGTAGCTTGCAAGCAGATATAGTAGGAATGAATGGTATCATGCTCTGGGTGGATCGGGATTTGGCCCTCAACTCTGCCCATGGAGGTGATCTTTGTTGACTTGACAATTTTTGGTAAAGTGAAAGTACGAAACTGTGGAGATTGGGTTTCTGTACAAGTCTCGTAAGGCGAGAAACCGTTGAAAGAGTGAGGAGATTCACTACATCGCGTTTCTCAACCATGATATTACGGGTATCCAGATAGGAACAACGAACAAAGAGAGCGTGTGCTAGATTATTCAGAAGTCTGCATGTCAGTCGAATATGGAGAACATCTGCTCGTGGGAGATCTGAAAGTATCATGGATATCGTCTCAGGAGGTAAAGAGATCAGAGAAGGAGCCATTCTGTTGTCTAGTCACTTGCCGCTGATAGCTGAAATGTAAAGGGGCTAAAAGAAAGGACTGTGCGTTTCTACGGGATAGTGTGAATTTATGATGCCTTGCTTAATTAAATAGCTCATGCATTAATGGGGGCGCATTATTACTATCAGCTAATGGCGGTATCCGTACTAGCGTTTAATCGAACAACGTCAGCAAGTCAGTCACGGGGTCCGTCAGTCACGCGTCACGTCGGTCCTTAGCAAGGCTAGCCGTCATGGCACAGTATACATACAAATTTCCCATTATGATGTTCCATCAACAAAGTAGCCAAGCTTTTCGGTCATTTTTTTCTCACGGCCAATGTAAACTAGTCACTAATTGATTTCTGTTCTCTGTGGGCTTGTATTTATGCCGTTGTTAGTAAAAGTAACGAAGATTAGCGGCAACTCTGTCATGACATAAAGCGTCAATCATGTAGAGAGCTGACCATCGACATAGTGGTGTTTTCTTGAGCCAGTAAAGGCCTGTACTGGTAGATGAGTTTTAATTATGTGCCAGCTTACTAGCGTCTTATATGACATACTTTGGTAAAAAGTCGCTACTTTTGATCATCTTTCGTCTTTCAAAGGATTGGGTTTTGATGATGCAATCAGGGCTATAAGAGGAGCAAACAATTGTCGAGGGACGGCGTATTCAATATCCCCCTCTCGTCTCTATAGAAAGTAACATCTAAGCAATACTATAGCAAAAGGGCCTCTAAACCTGCACACTACACAGGGCTCCTACCAAATGTCTCGTTTTGCCGGCAACACATGATTATAAAATCGGGTGAATTCCCAAACGATCACACTCGAGGGCAATCACATTTAGCACATACCATGAAGGTTGCCATAGAGGAGGAGACGGGTATAGTGTGGAGATTATTAGTGGAAGTTTAGGGTTGAGGGATACCCAGCCTTGCTTTTGGAAACATCAATCTCTTGGATGTAATACATAATGTATAGTCAGCGATGGTCTCCCACTGATATTGCATAGGAGGGAATACGTAGAGGGCAGGCATTAAGCGCGATGTGTTTGCATCATCTGATCTCAACGGAGCAACAATTAAGCCTGCCTGGGTTTGGCCGTGAATCAGTACAAAGAATGCTTTGTTATTTTCTCGGTTTTACCCCCTGCTACCCTGCTATGAAAGAGAGTAGGTACGATGTGGATAGCATCAGCCTCTTCTAACATGGCAATTCACAACTTTATAGAGGATTGGTAAGAATACCCAATTGCTCCAGCAAGATCTTAGCAAAATCCTTCTGGGCTAGGCTGCGCAACTTTGCGTGACGAGATTCCTTTGCAGGGTAAATTGGGAGAAACATTACAAAGATCGGCGCCTATCATGTTCACTACCAAATACTGCTTTGCTATATATTTCTTAGTTCTCAAAATACCTAATATAATTACTACTTTGTTAATTTTGCTCCCTGGCATTTTCTGCACCTATTTATATTTTTCTTTGAATGCTGTTTAACCCCATCAACGCATAGTACTCTGGCTCCTGTGAACTGCTTACTTTCTCTTCTTAGTGTCCTGTGCTTTCTCCTCTGATGCTCGTATAGGTTTCCGAAGTGTTTGTTGCATAGTTTGCATTCCCCCCCCTTGTTCTTAGCATTTGAGCATTGGGCATCCTGCAGAATGGGCCGTTCTTGTCTATCTTCAGAATCGGTGGTCCTTTGGCTCAAGTTCGCCAAAGTGCTCTTTGCAGCTTGCCCGTCAATCTGCGTTCCATTATTTGCTGGCGGCTGAACATTGTAATCGTGTCTGTTGACAAGGTGAAGATTGAAATCTGCCTGGGCTACCTCTTCACCACACTCAAAACATGTGACTGGTTTGTGATGTTCGTCTACGTGGATTCGGACTTGTGGTCCAGCAATCACATCGTCACAGAAGCAGCATTTCTGCCAACCATGACTGGCTTGGAGGTGAGATGGCATATCTGCTGTTGTTTGGAATTCATTGCACTCTGAACATCTTATCATTTTGCAATGATATTCCATGATGTGTTCTTTAAGCAACTCAAGGGGAAGAGGGTAAGTTGTGCAAAACAAACAATCCTTCATGCCATGTTTGTCACGTAAATGGTCATCATATGCATCTTCTGTGACCATCGATAAACATTCGTCGCAAGATCTCAGCTCATGCTCTTTCTCATGGTCAGCAAGAGCAGCGTCGCTGTGTGCGAGATAGCCGCAATAAGGGCATTCCTCCCATGAATGGTAATTGAGTAGGTGACGACGATAAGCCCACTCTTCAATGATGCATCCGCACTGCGGGCATTCCTTCCAAACATGCTGGCGCATGATATGGTCAAATTTAATTTGAGGACCGCACCCGTCACATGCACAGAGCTTGTGCTCCATTATCAGATGGCCGTCAACCTTGCTGCTAGCCATCGACTTCTGGCAAACAGGGCATACTCGTTGCCCATGAAAGTTACTTGCGTGATCGGCAAAACTTTGAGACGCCGGATCGCAGCAGTCCCAACATTGAAGTTCATGCTGATACTGGAGATGTTCTTTCATGCCACTAAGAAATTGATAGGTATGGCAAAACAGGCATCGTAACCGTTCATGTTCTTTCGCTTCTTTAAGATGTCGAAAAAGCCTCCTGTGGCTCGCCAAGTTTGAGCCTTCAGGACATTCAGGACACTCAGGACATCGCTTCCCAGAATGGTCTGTTTCGATGTGGGCGATTAGGCTGCATTTTGCCACCAGAGTTGGGCAGAATGGGCATTTATGGTAATCTCGGTGCTGTCCTATTATGGAGATTGGCATGGTTTCCTGACATATTGCACATTCTTGGTGTTGATGAGCCACCTCAAGGTGATGCAGGCGAGCTTCCAAAGCAATCGGCTTTTGGCAATATTGACAGAGCATTTGTTCATGCTCCCCAACATGGGACCCTAGAGAGTACTGTTTTATAACCATAGAGCACTCTTTGCAGCTGACAAATTCCGAACTAATACTTGGCGTTAAAAAAGGATTTTCTTTCTTGCTAGAGTCGAATGTCTGAGGCCAATGGTAAAATTCTCCAATGGCAGCCCCCAGGCATCCTCTAGCTAGGCATTTTTCAAGATAATCCTTTGCATCGACGATATGACGGACCTGGGGAAATCGGCTTTGTGTCTCAAGAGAACAATGATCTGGGTGACGCAAAAACACTGCTGCACGGTAGGCGGAGCGTATCTGGTTTTTGTCAACTGTATGAATAGTCGATACGCTAATACCTAATGCGTCAAAAGGGTTAAATATCATATTAGTGAAGGTAAAAGATAATAAGTCGAACTGATTGAGGAGGTGGAATTGAGGAGGTGGAATTGAGCAGGTCGAAATGAGGAGGTGGAATTGAGGCGGTGGAATTGAGGTGGTAGAATTGAGGAGGTGGAATTGAGGAGGTGGAATTGAGGAGTTGGAATTGAGGTGGTGGAATTGAGGTGGTGGAATTGAGGCGGTAGAATTGAGGCGGTGGAATTGAGGTGGTGGGTGGAATTGAGGTGGTGGAATTGAGGTGGTGGAATTGAGGTGTTGGAATTGAGGTGGTGGAATTGAGGTGGTGGAATTGAGGCGGTAGAATTGAGGTGGTGGAATTGAGGTGGTGGAATTGAGGCGGTGGAATTGAGGCGGTGGAATTGAGGCGGTGGAATTGAGGTGGTGGAGGGGATATTTTATATCACACACGCTGCACGTGCAAAGTGGGGTTGATGATTTGCGGTTTGATAAGTAATACACTTATCCATTACGCGTTCCGCCATCCCTGTCACTGACAGCCCGCTGGGCAATCTCCCCTTGGTTTGGGGTATCCTGGCGTGCATCGTACTCGGTGAGTGCGCTTTAGTAGTGTACGTTGCCTTCTATTGAGCCCCAAGAAATTTATCTGGTGGTTACTATACTCTGATGCTTTCAGTTTATCCAATATGGCTTGACATCATTTTCGCTGGGCTCTCGGTAGCTGAGGCATACAAATTCTGGTTGAAACGTCTCAACGTCTCAACCTGCTGACCATCACTAAGTGTCTGCCAAGATCATCACAATGCCCAGATAATGTTGGGGACTCAAATCATCTCTACGTTGCTTGTTTTGGCCACGGTTGGGGACTCAGGGGCCAGTCACGAGATGAGAGCGCGCTTTTTCGACCGAGTATTGCCAAAAGCCGCCGTGCTAGTCATTGATGATACGCTATCTTTGGCTAGTGATGGTCATCGAAACCGTGAAACTGGTGCTTGAGTTGATACGACGGCCACTCGCTACCACCTTGCGAGTCGAGTGTCATCCCACAGATCCCGTTTCATGTATTCAATCTCAGCAGTGATATGTGCAGCAGCTTGATTTGAGAGGCTGCTTCTAACAACTGGACGCCGTGGCCTAAGGGGAACAATCAATAGTAAGTAACTGCAATCTAGTCTAGCCAGTAGATATGGTAACATTCGTTTGATATGCGCAGGGCCAATTAGAACTAGCACTAACATCCTGTTTTGTTCTCATGCTTGTTTCGTACATGGAAAAACCTCCCGGTTGACGGCCTCATTTCTCCACATCGAGATGCTGATTCCCCTGTCCCATTACGTGCTGTGGCTGGAATCGAACCAGTACTCCCAGCCACAGTGTCGCAGCTTAATTTGGTGGCGGTGCACTACCCACTTGGGACCAGATGCCGTAAGATAGGGTAGGTACACAGGAAGGATCCGAATACAAGCCAAGCTCAAGACAGAGCGATCATGACCACATTCCCTTTCAGTAGCCCAGTATGTCATTCTAAAGCACCTTATTTCCTTGTCGGTTTTTTATTTCTACGCCGTGCTATATGCGATCATTTTGCAAGTTTCTGGGATTGGCTCCAGAGCTGGGCCAACGAGAGTCCGAGCCTCCTCTTCTTCCTCAACCCACTCCCCCATCTTCAAGCCAGGTCTCTCGATCTGGTTCCCAAGCCCAATCGCAATCGCAATCTGGTATTCCCGGCGAGGAAGAACGAAAGCTTCCTCCAGGCAAGTCATCTTGACTTCCAGTCATCGGTCAGAAGAGCAGCCTGATGAGCCTTGAGGTATATTCTAGCCCAGACCTCTCACAGCACTGACGAAGGACTGCAGGAAATGTGATAAAAGGCCAATCTAAAGAGATTATAGCAGGTTGCGGAGAGAATAGAAGCACCAACCTAGAGAAATCTGTTGAAACGGGGCCACCTGACATGATCAGATTCGCATTCGACGTTGGATGTTCACTAAGAGGACAGTCTTTGGTAAATCAAGGGTCCCGTTCATTTTAGGGCGCCAAAATTCAGTAATAATAGACAAGCAGGTAAGAATTAGATAGTATTGCAGCCTGAGGATTAATCAATTACCTCGTAAGTTTCGATCTCATTTTATTATCGATTTCCCTTCTACCTTGGTTTCTCTACCATATTCCGTTACCGATCCGTTTCAAGACTCATGACTACTAAATAATGCTATTCCCTTGACGACTGATGCCGTTCCGTTTAAACGAGTTGATACCTCAAAAGCCACATTCCAGTGCAGCCAAGCCTCCTCTGTCAATGCGCGGAGGGGGGTTTAGATGAAAGCCTCAATTGAGGTTAATTATTCACCGGACGCGCCACATACGCCGCATTGGTCATACAGCTGAGAATGTTAGTACAACGCTTTATTAAACGGAATGGGGCTTGTGGGGACTCTTCTGGTGAAAATCATACAGCCCACACCATCTATAGTGGCACCAGCTGACGAAAGTTCCTCATTTACTGCCTTTCCGCCTCAAGCTATCGATCCTAACGCAAGCTTGCTCAAAACACTACCCATTTATCAGAACACCATCACTTGCCATGGCGGAGGCGGTAGGACTTGCGGTAAGTGTCATCACTATCGTTGATTTATCAGCCAAAGTTAATTCGACTTGTTGCTTCCAATACTTGACCGCGGTTGGAAACGCGAGGGCGGACCTCACTCGCCTCCAGAGTAAGCAGAATTAGAACATAGCCAGCGACCGATCTCCTGGCACGAACTCCGTCCAATGGAAATACTAGACAAAGTTCAGGCAGAGCAGCTGGCGGGAGGCAAGACGCCGGGAGCTTGGAGAGACTGAACTTGACTGAGCAGGAGGACGACCGCACACGCGGCAGTGATTGTGGCTGGATGAAGTTGAGAACTCAATGAGACCTGAGACGGAGCGGGGATCTCTGAGACACGACATACTGGACGAAGATGAGCTCTGAGAGAGGTTGCGGGAGAGCCCGGACACGCACTACTGGGTCTAGCTGAGCAGCCAGGAAATCACTGGGAAGACCTGGACACAGGCTTCTGGAACCAAACTGGAGCTTGGAAACTTTTGAGATTTGACTTATACGAATTCCGCGAAGACATTACGATTTTGCCTAAGTCTGAAAATCAGCTGGCAGGAACCACTCGGGAGGAATCTGGTGGCTGGAAGAGCTGGACTGAGAAAACCTGCGAATTTGAGCGCTGGAAGTCTGGCGGGGCCTGGCGCTGGAAAGGAGGCTCCGGGAGAACCTCAGACTTGGCCAAGGTCAAGCTTGTTATATAGGCTGGACTGTACTGGACGCCAGGACGGCAGCCAGGACACAGGCGACGTTGGACACGAAATTCTAAGACTTCGGACCCTAAGGCTTAGGGTCTGTGATACGCCGTGAGTCACTCCGGTCAACTCAAAGCCTGAGACATCCCGAAAAATCATTTGGCTCTGAGCCACTTTGAGAAATTTGAGATTCAGGCCCAAGCCCAATAGCAACGCCCCAAACTTCAATTATTACCAGCACCAGACCTCCAGAACTTTGACTACGACAACTCCACGACATCTCTCCAGGCGCTGGGACTTAGCCCCCCAGACCGGCCGCTACAGCTGAAAGCGCCTTGACTCACCTGTTTCATGCCACCAAGTTTTGGGAGTCACCATCGGCGGATACTTACGTAACTCTGTGGATGACAGAAGTCGCTGCGGAAACGACTTTAAGACGCCCAAGCAAGAGACACCCTTTCTATGCCACCGGAGAAAGAGCGAGTACGAAGACACCACCTGAGCGACGCCAAAGAAAGTTGATGGGAAACAACTTCTGGCGAGATTCTGGTGGTAGGCGCGAAGTTACGTTGGAGAGAGACCGAGAGCATAACAACAACTTCAACCCCGCTCAGTGAACTTTGATCCTTCATCATCCTTCATCATCTCCCACCAGCTGACGAAACTTGTCTGCCATCATTCCCATCACATACACTCGCTTCTCATCAAACACAACACTCCAATCCCATGTCCCGAGTTCTTGGTGAAGATAGCACCGACTCCAGTTTTGGCACTCCTACACAAACGGCCACCTCTGCCTTCACTACCCTCAGAACACCCAGCCCAGAAATTTGATCATCAGATTCATCACGATACGTTGAGCACCCACCTTCCGGCGCTTTACCCAGCTCTACTCGTATCTTTGACCCTGCTCGTTTGACGTCGGTTGCGTCGCCCTCTCTAGACTTTGCGGAAGTCCCTGAGGAACGGACTGAGTTGAGCATCTCCAGGACGGAAACATTTCGAGACACGATGAGTGCTACTGGTCGCGGTGAGATATTCTTTTCGGGGAAGCAAGAAGATTGCAAACCCAAAATCTTCCTCAGGCACGTGAGAAAAGTCGTCAAGCGTGAGAATCCAAATCTGGAGCTCCCAGAAGAGGGGGAACTGGAGAACATGTTTCTGGTGCAAGCAGTTCACAAGTGCCTGCGAGGAAAGGCGCAGCGGTGGTTTGAGGAAGAACGGCTGGGGGAGAAATCCTTTGCGGAGATCTCACTCCAGTTTGAGGAAAAGTTCAGCAAACCAGACACGGCAGTGGACAGCGCGCTCATTGCAGAGGCTCACCAGACCGCGAGGGCCCCCACTGAGTCACTATGAACTTTTGTGGACCGAACCAGCAGGCTACAGGCAGACCTTGTTGACGAGCTTCATACTCCGAATAGACGACAAGGACAAAGACCAGCGCCTCCAGGAACGAATTCAAGACAGACTGTACTCCCGAAACAAATGGATCAATGCCGTTGCTGGCCCGAGCCTCACTTTCGACGACGTGCGAAACCTCATCTAGGACTGCCGGAATGCTGCCTCAGAAACTTTGCAACCTTTCGGTGAGGAGGGCGACAAGACAGAGCAGGAGAACTCCAACAAGATAATGATCGGCTCGAATCACGAAATGGCGAGACTCACATCGGAACTTGCTCGAGTTACACTACCAACCGTGAGAGGCAACAACTACTACACAAACAATGATAACAGAAGCGGAAACACTCAGAACTATACTGGAAACAACTCGGGACCTGTTCCAATGGGGACAGGAACGGGACTCGGAGATGACTTTATGCTTCAACTGCGGATTGTGGGGACACATGATGCCGCAATGTCGTGAACCGCGCGACAATCAGAAAATACGCTACAACCGTGACAACTGGCAAGAGAACAACAGAACATTGATGAGCATACGCAGGGCAGAGCTGAATAGTCTGGCAAACAGAAATCGTCAGCCGTGTGTGGCAAAGCCAGCTATGATGGGAACGGCGAGGCCCAGACTCTCAGCTGGATATCGCCAGCGACCCAACGATCAACTTGCGATGAACATTTCATGGCAGCGAGAGGGAACAAACTTTATCAGGAAGGAGGACAGATGCCCTGCACCCTGGCGTTATGACGAAGAGTCCCCCGGAGATAGCTCAGCGAGCATCAGCAGCGCCGTGCCATGGAGGTACGACGAGAGCTATCCGAGGCAATCGTTAGGTCTCCCGTGGACCGCTTCGACGTCAACCTCTGAATCTCTGGAGACTAGGGACTCTGAGAGAGTAACGGCGCCACTGGATCAGAAGAAAATTGACGCCTCTTCGAGACAAGTGATGGCGTTGACCACAGATCAGCTGGTAGTGAACGCCGCGACAAACGAGACGGAGGAGACTCAGCCGAAGCCCAAGAATCCCGCCGGAGTAGACAAGGGCAAGGGCAGAGGGAAGAAGACACCAATAGGAGATGAACAACTGAGGATGTGGCAGACACAGCTACGCGACAGCTGCAGGGGAACGCCGATCGCACCACGGGAAGACCCGTGACTGAGATGGAGGGCCCCCGAGTGGTAGAGTTGGGAGACGACGAGCAGCCTTTAGCGTCTCAGACTCAGCCAACTGATACAGACATGATAGCGGACATCACCGGGAGGAGTTCGAGAAGATGCTGTCACGTCTACAACCCCACCTGGAGCGACTGAGATTGCGAGACGATGATGGCAGAGCAGTTCCAGCAACGGAGAAGAAGCCACGACACGTGGAGAAGATTAGAGCAACCCATGAGTACCAAGTTCCACCCTTTGAGATTGCGCAGGACTTGAGAACGATACCATTCATATCAGTATGCTACAGCTGCCCCGTCTATCCGACAACAATTTTCCAAGCTGATGCAATGTCACCGGCGAGCGAAAGGCACCAAGACTGGAGAGGCAATTCTGAACACGCTGGGTCCCTTTAGGGCGCTCATGCAACCGGCGTTTGCTGCCAAGCTGGAGAGAGAGTATATCGAGGGCGATTAGACCTGTGGAAGTCTGGCGCAGCCTCGAACGTCTGGGAATACCACAATGTGGCAGGATACTGCCTCGCCTGAGAAGCCAGTGCCAAACAATCTGGGATATATAACCGGCTACCTGTCCGGTCACCATACCGATGCCATCTGCTGGACAGCGGCTCGGTCGTCAACCTGGTGAATCAAAACTTCATGAATAAGTCTGGCATACGCCCTGTCCGACTATCTAAGGTTGAGCCTATCCGCCTGGCAAATGATGAGATCGCTCATGTCACTGAGTTTGTGATGCTGGAAGTTGCGGTGGCAAACGTCATGTGTCACTTGTCGGCTTATGTCATGAGAGGACATGAGGATCGGGACTTACTGGCTCGGAGGCCTTGGCTGAGTCGGGTAAAAAAGGTAGTCGACCACTATCACAAAGAGAAGTTGATCAGCACGGGCTTCTAAGGACGCACGGCGGTTGTTGATATCGCACCATCCCCGAGACACACGGGACGTATCGGAGATCGCGAGAAGGATACGGCTGAGGTGGTGGCAGATCTGGCGGAACCAGAAGACGAGGAGCTCATCTACGTGGAAGACGACGCCGAGATTGAGAGTGAGGTAGAGGAAATTCTGGCCGATATACACCGGATCATCCAGAGAGAGACGGACGCCCATGATTTTGCGGGAAACTAGATGCCACCATCGTTGATGCTGGAACGATGGAGTGACGGGAACCAGAACAGCAACCTAGGAATTCAACTCATACAGGAGAATCCAGTGGCCAGGACAGCGATATATCGTACCAAGGAATCCAGGAACGTTATAATTACTTACCTACTTATAAACGTGAAACTTTTGTGATGCACTCCGGGGGGCACGATTCCAGTGCGGTGCGCCCTGTAGGCGTACCGCTGGGAGAGGCCGCTAAACCACCCCGCTTTCAGGCCTACGTTACTGGGGAGCAACCCTCCTCCAACAACAACATCGCGAGAGCTTCATTTCAGTGCAACGAAAGCGCTACGGCGCTGGGTGTCCCCCAGCGCTTCAAGTCATACAACTTTTGGTGTTCGCTATGCGACCTTTACTCCTCTGCCAAACGAGGAAACAAACTGCGAACTTTCCCCTTCCAAAACCGAGCTTCTCGCGAATGGCCGAACTCCAGACGCGCGAAACGCGTGCTCCCCTCCCGACGAACTCCAGGCGGCAAAAGTTCTCCTCCCCAGCTTCGGCCACCGGGCCAGCCGAGCTTAATCCCTACAAGATCAGACACTCCGAGCGACGAAACTCCGGCCCCAGAACTGGAGATCACCGAGCGCGGGAAACTTGAGACGGAGGCGGATGAGCTGCGAGCCAGGTTCATTGACCATACTCCGGAAACAAACTGGGACAAACTGCCTGCCTGGATATTGGTCTGGGAGCTCGCCGCCAGGAAACAGAGACACGGGAAACTGAGAGCTGCTGAACCAGACTGGGAGAAAGTGAATCGGGAGTGCGACGAGACGGACCATTGTGAAAATTACTGAACACAAATGAACGACTTGGTGAGCGAGAGGAGTGACCGGACACTCAGTACTGGGAACTTATGGCGCCAGGAGAATCTCTCAACAGACAGACAGTACGACCAGACACTCCCTACCGCAGAATCTCAGATCTCAGATGAGAGCCTGAGAATCATACGGGGGAACGAGACACGAGCGACCGACCTGTACTTGAGAGGCAGAGAACCTGAGATGGCTGCTGGGAAATGGCAGACATCGGGTACTGGGATTTCGGAAGACTTGGAGAAATTGCCGGTAACGGAATCTGACTTGGTGGAATCAACCGGCTGGAAGAAGTCTGGCACCACCTGGGAAACTCTTGGAGTTGGAGGAGTTACCGGGAGAATACCTCAGAAAGCTGGCATGGCTCTGGCTGGCGGGGGCTGGTAGCCAACAGAGGGAGACGGAGTGTCCCAGCGAGTACTTGAGTTTGAAGATGGTCAGCTTCAGTATACCGGCTGGCAGAAGCTGGACACGCCAGAGACAGACCAAGACGCGCCGGAACAGGCGGCTGAAATCTCAGGGCGGCAGACTTTAGGGTCTTTAGGATCCACCGCTCAACCACAGCTCCAGGCGCTGGACGCGTCTTAAATTGACTCAGAGCCCGATATATATGGGAAATACAAAAATCAAGGCAAACCCCTTAAGATTCCAAGAATGCACCAAATCTGCTAATTCTCACGGGAATGCCACGAAGCAATTATTTCTTGGTTCAGAGACACCAGCATCACACTTGGGGGCATGGTCGCGACACCCGCCCAGAGGTTTCAAGTCATGCGATATCTTAGCAGCGAAGGAATTCGTCCCACCTATGGAACGAAACGTCTGATCAGCCGGGGCTCAGGTGTATGGGGAGCCAACACGCATTGGATTCCGAAACCAGGCAACCCACGACCAACTTACGTACTTCAGCTGAGAATGGTACATAACTATCGCCTGATCAAAGAGCAAACAAAGAAGCCAGCCTATCCATGTCACAGCCTCGAGGCAGACTTGGATTGCATATACTGTGGTCGACCGCGAGTGTTCTCGCAGGCGGATGCCTCGCAAGATTTCTCGGGCATACCAATCCAGCCATCTGACAGAGACAAGACCAGATTCCTTACGCCATACGGTTTATACTACTACAACAACACACTGATGGGCCTGAATGGTTCGTCTGCCATGTACGCCAGGTTTGGAGACTTGGTGTTTGGCCACTTGTTCTTCGAGGACGGTTCGAGCTCCCATCGATTCAGGGATACCTGAGAAAACTCGCGACAAGTTTCTTTCCATACGTTGATGATCAAAACATGGCGTCCGAGACATTGGAGGACAATTTCAACTCCCTCTGGAAGTACTACTTTCCTCGCATCGTCTGGGCGCCAATTAGTTTGAAGGCCGGTTCATGTCTAGCATGGAATCATTGTGACTTACCGTGGACGAGAAGAGGATTCGACCAGCACAGAAGCACCAGGAGAAGTTTGTGCAGTTGAAGAAACATTTCCAGGAGAATCCGACCCACTCCTGGGAAGAGGTGCAACCACTTTTGCACCTAACACCATTCGTTTGAAAGTTTATACCGGGGAGAGCGGAACTTATCCAACGAATAAAACAAGCCTTCTTTGAGTGCTCTGCAACTACTACGAAATTTGGGAAGCCATCTGTTTTACGCCGGGAAACAAGAGGAGATATACCGGAATGGAACAGTGGCGCTGCGGCGGTGCTTGAGAGCATTTGCGACGCCATTTAAAATAATGCAAGTCCGGGAGCCGACTCCGAGAAACAGTTTCACCTGGCAACCAACGCCTCAGAAAACGGGATTGGTGGACTTCTCCTCCAACTGGACAGCATAGCGGCAGGAGAGGACATTGACGAGAAGAACTTCAAGAAAGCAAGAATTATCATGTTGATCTCGGGACGCTTTAGCGATGCCAGAAAAGGAGATGCTCGTAGTTGTACGAGGATTGAGCGAAAGCGACTGGATGATCAACCATTCCTCACATCCAGTGAAAGTCTACACGGATCACAAAGGAATCACAGACTCGACGGCGAACAGAGGGCATCTCCACGGCAAGATCAGCCGCTGGATCAAATCCTCGGGGAATACGACATTGAGTATAGACACCGTTCGTGCACGGACAAAGTGATGCGCCTGGCAGATGGAATGCCGCGCTTGCCAGAGGCGCAGAAGGAAGACGCCAAGCCAGTCGAACTCAGACTGGGATCGAACGAGTTCTAGGAGTGACTCCGCCAACGGAACTTTCGGCGAACACAATTCTGCCTGGAGACAGACAACCCGGGAAACAGTTGATTGCCAGCTCTGGGAAGCTGGACATCGGGCATTGGGAACTTGAGTCCTGGTACTCCGAGATCATATCAACTCTGCTTAGGGGTCTGAGCAGCGTGGAAGACGGGCGGCGAAGAATGATGAAACGACTGGTGCTGCGATACAGAATCTTTGATGATGCCCTACACTATCTGGAGAACGGTGAGTCTTGGGCACTTTGTGCAGCTGGAAGTGAAGTGCCTATCTTACTCCAGAATGCGCACGATAGATGTGGACACTTCGTAGTGGCGATTACCTTGGAGCGACTGAGAGGAAGAAGCTGGTGTCCGAGTCGAGCCAGCGATATTGAGAACTATTGCATATCGTGTATGGTGTGCTAACAGACAGCGCCCCGTGTTCTGGCATCACTCTCAGGGAGCATCACCAAGCTGGCATCATGGGATATGGTGGGAATCGACTACATTGGTCCGATAAACCCTCGTTCGACGGAAGAACACTAATACATCGTGGTGATAGCGGAATACGTGACGAAGTTCGTGGGATTGGCATGCCACACGACGGTGGATGGAGACTATGTATTTTAGACTTGGGAATCACAAGGGGCGTCAATGTTCGGCTGGCCGAAAGTTATCTATTGCGACAATCGCTCACATTTTGTGAACATGAATGTCAAGGTAGCAGCGGAACGTCATGGCACAAGGATGTAGTTGGAACCTACGTCTCATCGCTCATCTACAGGCTTGCCAGAACGCGTCGTTCGCCCGGTAAAGGATCAACTACAGAAATAGGCAGCAGAGCGAGAGGGACTTGCGTTGAACCTCTGGCACATGGTAGTGCCCACCATCAACGTCAACCTCAACAACAGGTATATCGAGAGCATCGGAACGTCACCGGCGATGGCGATGCTGGGATAGGAACCGCCTTCAAAGCATCCAGGCATACTTGAGCAACAGCCAGACGAGCAAACCTTGAGCGACGACGAACGTGTGGCCAGGGAGTTGAACTTGGCGCTTGTCGACGCCAGAGAGGAGCTCCGAGAGAGTATACAAAACCGAGCGAACAACTTAACGCAGCCGGTTGTCCCGCGAACATACAGACGGCTGAGAGTTGGCACAATCGTATGGGAAAAACATGATAAAGCCGCAACGCTGAAGACCAAGTCTCATAAGTCCTGGGGGAATCTATCAAGAGCCACTGAACAGGTATCGGAGGTCGTGTATATGACGACGAGTCTGGTGGCACCAGGCAAAGCCCGGAAGGTACATGTCGACGACTTGAAACTGTATGTGAGGCGTCTGGCGAGGCTGGAACCTCCGAAGGTCATCAAGCTGGAACTAGACGCCAACAAGGAAGATCAACGACAGATGCTGGAGGATCCCACTTGGGACAACCCTGAGATTATTGATTCTATGCGAACATGTGAGTACGCTGGGAGGCGACGCTCCCATCATTCGGTTAGAGTGCTGAGCACTTTGCGTGCTACGGATTGGTACAGGCAAATGGACACCGGAGGATCTGGTGGCGGGAATGACGGAGCGGAAGAACTTGGCATCATGTGAAAGATGGAAATAGACGTCAACATATCGTACTCGGGAACAGAGCATTCTTTGGTGTTGAGGGCAACACCAGCAAGGCGCAGCGGTAGTATGCTACGGGAGGCAATTACTAGGGCCTCCACTATAACTTAGGCGAGCGTTTCAAACATTAGATACGAGAGAGAAGAAAAGATAACCAGCCTTGTTCTGTTGAGATATAAATGTGACTAGGTGGAATTAAAATTAGAAGAGGTGTAACTTGTAGGCATGATAGAGATGCATCATGTGACACAACCCGAGCAGGAGTGAATTCGAATGCCCGAGAGAGAAGTTTATGTCGAGCTGGTTCGTCTTCGGGAGCGAGAGTCAGCTGGGCTGAAACAAATCCAGTTTCCAGCGCTTTCACTGCTGCTAGAAACCTTCTTGGAGACATTAGTTATCAAGGAAATGGGACGCAACAAGGTAGGTTCAAGCCATTAAACGTTCTGGGAATGTAATGGGATTAATCAGTGGTCTATGTTTTCTGGGAGAGAGGCTTAGAAAACTACGAAAACCCCCGACATGGTCAACTAAAGCGACGCAAGATGTCCTCCATCCGCGCCTGGTTTCGTCAAGCACTACCCTAGTGGCCTAAACACAATTTGCCCGTACATCAGCCATGCCACACATTCAAGAGAAGAGAGGTTGCCATCACATAGAAGTTTAAGTGCGGCCATAGCCATCATTGAGAGGCTAGACGTAGTACCCGATGTAGGGCAGCTACGCCTCATAGTGCTGACAATTGAATATCCATCCTCAAGTCGGACAGGAAATCTTTACAACCTTGAAGTCCCTATGCCTCTTGTTTTTTTAGCACCAATCGGTTTCATGTTACAGCAAGATATAGGCGGTCATCTACTACTTCGAGCGTGCTGCGGTCCTTTTCCGAGCCACTTGGCACGCCACTGAGCCACTTTCACGGAGTAATGCCCCCCAATATAAGCAAATGTGAGTTTTCGAAATTCGCCTGATATTGGCTGTGACATTGATGTTGTATATTTTAGGCGAACATCGGCCATGAACCTTGACTGATGATATGTAGGTAGGTATTTAAGCTCCGTAATGGCAAGGTCCGACACGACTAGCAAAGTGAAAATTCTTAACAAAGGACTAGAAACCAACAGTCAAAAGTTAGTTCAGAAAGTTTCAAACAGCATGTGGGAGAAAAGCCGACTGATGGCCATCTGCGAAAATGAGCGAAGTGGTCCACCATTCGAGACCATTCACCTATAGATTTTAGCCGTTCACGTATTATAGATGAATCACTCTGGTACTCCTACTTTCGACAGCTGCCAGCTACGGGAGACAAGCTCGGGGCCTTGGCTGTGGACAAGATGTTCCTAGCGTACTGACATTCATCACCACCTCCTACCTGCTGGTGCGCCCGAACAGGGGATAGCTGTATATGAAAGAGCTGCTAACGGGCGTGTGAAAGATCCAGCCAAGTTCTAGGTACAGGGGGTTCTGCATAATGCCAGCATCTAAGGCGGGTCCCCGAATCTCAGCGGTTTCACGCTCGGTTTTGCAGCGATGCGACCAACCCATATCTGTCTTGATCGTTGTTGCTTACTACATGCTGCATAAACCGTTTTTAAGCTTATGTCGCTTATTCTCATTTACCATTGTCTATATCTACAGCCCTGAGCATCCAGGGTCGGGTCATTTTAGCAAAACCACCTACTATCAACACTCCTGGATCATGAGTTCCTAGATCTTGTCAGTTACACGCATATCATTAATCTTGGCAGCATTTCTAGGCCTTTTCTCTTCTAGTGTCCGCCTCGTTCAAGCCAGATCCCTTTGCGCATCTCACGGGATAAAACTGACTGTGACCAACAACAAAAGAAATAAACCCTTGGCAACCACAAGCGAGGGTAAGTCCGGTGCTCACTACCTGAAGTACTAAGGGCTCAAGGCTCAAGGTGCTGGCATTGCATGGTATTTTCCAGGACTTACCCCTAAAGATTTCCAAGAGGAAATTCACGGCGGCGTGAACTATGGTCTCGACAGGGGCTCAGGACGGTTATATGGCTGAGTCAACCACAACGACCGGTCCATGGCTACTTGGTAGTCATCAAGAGCGGAAAACTGAGAAAAGGGATCCTGTCCAAGGTGAACGGCGAAACAACGCTTTTGAAAAGCAAGTCAACCTCGGTACGATCAAGGCAACGCAAGATGATGAAGAAAGCACCATCTCTCTGGATTTTATACCGGCAGATTTCTCATCCATCCCGCCGTCTTCTTCCATTAGAGTAGAGGTGGGGGTCACAAACGCAGGTAAATTAAGACTTGGAAGAATATCGTAAACATATAGGCTGACGAGCCCAGAATCATCGTTCTGGACGACAAACGCAAGTTTAGGGTCTTCACAAGTTACAGTACAGAAGCCTAACAATGAATCTGGTCCTGAGGAAGGCAAAGAAATCTCTTTCCATTCCAGAACACCTCGCAGTCACCCGCTGGCTCCATTTCTGTTTTTAGATTCGGAGGAGGCATCTTTGGACTCTTTGGCGAAGTTTCCCAGTAGCCAGGAGAATTTCCGGGATCAAATGAACCAGCCCAACGCATTTCAATGCCGAAGTCTAAGGAATGGGAGATTATTAGCTATGGCACAGTTGGAAACGGCAGAGAGGAGAGGGAAACTCGAGTACACCAAACGGCTCTTCCTATCAGAGGTCCCAAGCGACTTGACAGCGATAATTCAGCCCAGTGGGGTGAAGGCGATGGAGATTTGGAAGTAATAAGCAATTTCTGCTTCTATAGCACGATGTGAGTAGCGGGAGCTGTTAAGCCAGGTAAAGATAGTTTGACAATACGCAATTGTGATCGAAGGACAGAGATGCCTGTACAGACTCAAATCGATGAGGTATTTGTCATGGCTGAAGGAGTAAAGAAGACTATACCGCTACTATTCAAAGACGAACGGTGATGGCGGAGAATTCCAGGGTCCTGGCGAGAGATATCGCAGGTGATCTCGGGCGTGTTGACGGACACTACGATACCGGCTTCGGTACTGGCAGCGCTGCCCTCACATCAAACAAATTGAGTCCAGGGGCGTTTTTAGAAACTTTAATCATATATTTCAGATCTGGCGTCTAAGCTTTGCACACTGACATTTCTAATTTACCATCAGACCTCGTGTCCCCAATCTGCCGTCGCCCCTAGATTCATCGCGCCTTATCTGACCCGGATTTAGAGCTATTGTATCTTATCCAGTGTTTCCGTTGTCACCGAAAGTCTCTACGACGCCAGTGTTGACTTAGCTTGGCTGAATAAGCTTGCACAATCAGTCGCCATCACCGGTATCGTGAGTATATCGAGAGCGAGCTCGCTAATCGTCGGGATTTTACCCTGGCGAGCGATCTACCATTCGATCAGGTCGTCAGTATCCTGCGGCCCTGGTTCTAGATAGCACTCAAGCCCTCTTCCTATCACCGGGCCTTCGCCGCACTGCTGTTACTCCATTGCTTAAATACGCTAGCTTCGATGATCTTCCTAGCTAGCTAAACAAGGATGAGCTGCAGGCTTGGTGTAGTCCGTATTCGATTTCTGCAAGAGTCTCCTGACGGGCAATCTTACATGATATCGGTGATCCTTTCATATCACTAGTTCCTGGTAGATCCGTTGCCCAATCCATCACTGCATCATCTGTAGCCTCAATAAAGTAAGGGGCCTGCTGCCTAGACCTTCACGGCTGGCTGTCCGTCTCGCGGCCCTTGAATCGAGCAGAAAGCTGTCGCTTACGGCCTAGCCTCCCTCGAGCCCGTCTTAGTCATCATAATAGGGCAGCTCGGGGTGCTGCAGGTGTTTTAGCAAGTCTTCCATACGGGTATGTCTCGCAAGCGAGTGAAAAGGGAGGGGCTACACGCAAAGCAGCATTGATAGCTATCAGTTATCAGCTATCAGCTATGACAGAACCTTGACACTTACGGTGAAGAGTGGGGAGCTGGAAGCGGAATAAGCAGCCGGTTCCAGATCACCACATAACGTTGGCCTTTTTCAACCCCAATCAGCCAAGCCGTAGCGTAGATCCCCTACGTAGATCCCCTGGCAATCAGCGAAGGAATGACACTAACTCCATGGCCTTGGCGAAATAAAGTCATACTGTTGTTGCCTCCGTCGCCTCCACCGGCCTAGAAAGAATGGGAAGGGGCGAACCAAATGCAAAATGGGGTTCTATACTGATACCGACCAAGCCCGATCTTCGTGACGGACCTGCGCAAAGGTGTTGATGCTACATCTCTTATGTCGAAATCTTAGCTTCTCATTACCAGTTCGTGATTTATGAGTAGTCTCCCAGCTATAGATCAAACGGGAAAAGGATGCTATGACACTTGGATGAAATCAGTACAGTAGGCCCCTGTATTCAAGTGGACAAACCTACCTTTCTTCAATGTGACTGGTGGTGAGCATTAACATCCGATGGAAAGTCCTGCCGGCCTGTCATTTACACCGCTTACCGAAGTGGGTAAGCTCAACGGAAAGACTGTTCCGAAGTCGCTCCGCCTTTTTGCGATCGCAACAACATGAATTGAAACAAGGAAAACTCAATATCGTAGTGCTTGACACGATGGTGCCGTCGATATTTCTTATTTGTGTTGCCTACAATTCGCCCTCGGAGGCGAATTTCATGCATGAAGCTTTCTGACCCCCCCTAGACCATCTCTATGCAACTTGTTCAGCCCCCCATCTATTCATCCAACGTCTACTTGCTGATCTCGGCTAGCCACGGCGAACCCCGAGGTATTGAGCCACGCTTACTGAGGCACTAGACTACTTGATGGCGCACTTTGCTTGGCCGGGGTTATCTATATAATGTTCTGGGAAGTCGCGAAAATGCGTATCAGATATCAAACGTTATTTCAAATCGAAGTTTTTTGATTTGATTGATTTGATTGATTTGATTTAATGGCTATGCTGGATACCAGGGCGCCTGGCAAGGCGGCTAGACCTAAACTTATGTACATTTGATTGCACCTTGCATGTGAGTCGTGCAGTTTGGACAACAAAGTCATGAGTGGCAAAATGGACTCTCCCAAGTAGAATTGGTATTAAACACGAATACCAGCAATACAGATACCTTCCATAGTACCTAGCCTTCCAAGGCTTGGGCATCCTTTTCTCCTTAGAATCGTGCCGGCGGCTCGATTTACTCCTTCTCGTTGTTAAAAGTCTTGTCGCTACTCCATTGAGCCTTTGTTTTGGGGCTTCGGAAACCCTTGTTGGCGTCTTCCTTTTCAGTTGTTTGCGCTCAGCCTTGACCTTGATGTTCGAAGACCAGTCCAAAACGGCAAAGAGGGACGCCCAAGAACATTTAACAGAAGTAAATAAGCGTAAGAAGACAAAAAAGAGTTCAATAGAGACACCTCAGGGCCACCGAGGTAAAAAGGCTCAAGTGACTGAGAATAGGAAAGACATCGATATATGAAGACGGAATAGCGTATGTGATAGAACATGTCAAGGGGAACAAAGAACCTTCTTAGAAGGAGAATTTAGTAGGATGAAAACCGTTCATAGCGGAATTGCCTAAAGGTTTGGAGATTATGCCTGTCCTATGACAAGTGACAAAAGCCTTGATTGTTATCCCAGCATATCGAGTTGCAACTTCCGGACTCGTCTAGCCTCCTGGCTGGAGCACACTTTGGGTAGCCGTGGCTGGTGCATTGGCGATTCAGTTAATAACAGAACCACAAAGCAGACAGTGAACATCCTCAGTCCAGGACTTGACGCCACCTATTACGCTTTCGCGCAAGTCGAGAATTTTCCATCCTGTTGGGCGGCCATCTTTCATTTCGAGGGTGGCCTTGAAAAGTCCCTCGTATGGTTTAAGGCATGCAGCCATCTTTCTCGCCTTCCTATCGCCCTTCTTGGCAGGTTGCTTTGCTAGAGCGGTGGCGACACCTCCGAAAAGCGTTCGCCCACCCACAAGACTTCCTACCTCACAATCGGTTTCGTGAGCAGCCTTCTTGCAGCGCAAGCCATCATACGTTTTGTTGAAACCGACATCAATTGTTGGCCGGGTTTCTTTCTCCTCGGGATTAGGAGGCGAGAGAGGATGGGTGGCTGTGAGCTCCTGCTTCTTGCCAGCCAAATACTGGCTCATATTGGGCTTGTCCAGGCCCAGTCGCTCATAAACTTGCATGAGAATCTTGTGAGACACACATTCCTCATGTAGAAACTTTCCGCACTGCGGATTTGTGCATTCTAGCACGATTTTATCAGGGCTTGCAGGCTCTTGGCATTCGCAAATGAGTTCGACAGACTTTATGCATATGTTAGCCTTGTGACAAAGGAGACACAATGAGACACACCGAAAGTTGCGAGTTACGGCAGTCGAACGCTTGGCGCCAATAAAGCCCTTTTGGGACTTCCTTGGTATCGGACTCAATCCATTGATCGACGGTAGCGAGTCCTTTAACACAGACAACATTGATTATATCCACTAGCAAAGGAGAGATCGGTTAGTCGCATTGCGGTATATCGGCCACCATTCTGGAGCATACTGTGGTTGGAAGCGATCAGTTCGTTGACGCCATGGTACACCTGACGGCCTTGGACTTTCTTCCTGCTGTCAAGGGTCCCCGCAGGCAGTTCGTCGGGCCAGTACATCCAGCAGACGCGTGCATAGACGTGTTGCTCATCAGAAGCGCGGATGTCAAGGACGCGCGCCACCCACTCATCTTTATTCTCCTTATAAACAGGCAGGCCATACTCCTGAGCCTTTTTTCTTTCCAATGATAGCTCGTTACTAACATACACAAAATCGTCTTTATAGTATTTGTTTTCGTTCCCTGCCAAGGGTTAGCCGTAAGCTCCTACCAATTGGGAGAATGTTAGAGATTCCATCGGATGCTCACAACTAAAGCTACGGTAGCGCGTCATGCCTCGCCACAATTCTTCGGGTTTAATGGTGTAATATACATCCATCTTCGTATGCGTTTTAAACCTACCCTTTGGGTTAAAAGGCGAGGTTTGGCACTGAACCTGTCTGTTCTTATCTTGATCATCAGGCTTCCGCTTCTTCTTTCCCTGGCCTCTCTGGCGATCAGTTTCGTAAGAGATTGTGAAAGAGCATTCGGCGTAGCAATCCTTCCCAACAGGAAGTGATCTCTTGCGCTTGCTCATCATGGTGCTTTGATGAGATTCGCCCCTGTATATGACCGCGTTGGAATGAATAGAAGAATGGGTTTTGCGGAGAAGAGAAATAAGCTTCGTGGAAAAACAGCCGTCAGAGAAAGGGGGAAATGTGAGAAGTAGAAGGAAATCAGCAAATGATTTTGCGATGATGAGATTTGTGCCTCAAAGGCCTTTGAGTAATAATTTGAGGGCGCGCCTGTCGTCCCGTGCGCGATTTTGCTTATGTCATTCAGTTTGTCATCAATGACTGGTCGAGAGTGAGCTGAAAGTGGAGTAACTTCATTAGAAGAGCAGAAATCATCGAAATGCCATGAATACACTCTATTCAATTTTCAAAGGCTCATAAGGCAGCATAGAGTATCAGATGGCCTGCTGGATGAACTGGCTGGGTGTTTTTGTATTGAATGGGGCCGAGTCACCATTGTAGATCGAATACACGCACGGCTCAATATGGCTGACCGTTAGACCTGCCTCTCCCCTAAGGTAGTGGAAGACTTTTCTACAACCTTTACAGTTGTTGAAAGAAGGGGATCCCGAATATATTTCTGCACTTTGTTTTCTTATCTGAATGGTAGCTTACACCAAAAATACAACTGGGCTTATAGCAGGAGTAGAGATGAGGCCGCAAATCATGTTGGACAGTGAGTACCATCGGTTCTTTGTCAACAAGTTCTTGATAATTGTATGTTTTGACTATTGTACTGTTTTAGATAAGCTGTGTTGATTATGATAGAAACCATCGAGAGAAAGCTGGCTGGAGACTTAGAGTGTTCGTTTTAATGATAGTTTGTCTTGTTCTAAGTGTTGCGATGTATTTTCTTAGGTAGCTTACCTATACTCTGATACTCGTTATATGCATAAAGCTCTGTTAAGGTGCATAGACAGGGGCGGCATATGCCATACTGCGTTCAGTGTAATAACGACGCTATTCTAAGTGGGGCGAAGGGGAATGTTGTGAAAATTTGGTGACAAACGCCTTTCTTTGGCATAAGTTTTTTTCCAAGCGCGTAAAAGCCATTAGATAATGATAAACTGAATCAGAAGTGATGAATTTCTCATTTCAGCCTTTATTTTATAAAACAGAGCCTGACAACTAACAAATATTTCCCTTCCGTGTTCCGTGGTGGTATCTAGTAAAATTCAAGACCCCAAGACACGGGTAGTTCAGCGATAACGATCTGAAACCAACTACCGAGTCTTGAGGCAAGAATATCAGGAACGGCCTCGATAGGCTCAACAATGACCAGATACAGCAATCCAGCTGACAAACCTCACTTTAGCTCTTGCAATTTGCAAATCGTCGTTTCATCGAAGGATTCAATCTTAGCCACTCTGTCCACTTTTCTTCTTCTTCTTTTTTTTTTGTTTTCCTTTCTATTAGAGGTTCAAACGGCCCAGAGAAAAGGGACTATTGCCAGATTGGAGGCAGTTGACAAAGGGGAAAAAAGATATGGGATCACACCTTCATTTATTTGTGTATAGACGCGGAGTGAAACGGGATATTATTTCGGTTGCCGTAGTAGTATTGATAGTTAAGATGTATAGAATGTGCTTGGGATCTTTGAATTAGTACCGTATTATTAGTAATTACACTTTGCATGGATCTTTTGGGAGTTGGTAATTTGAGATAATAGTCAGGTAATATTTCCTGCGTTCTGAGGCCCAACGTTTGTGATTCAAGCCATCTTTCTCTGTTAGCTTGCGCACTGCAATAACCTCTTCGTCTAAGAGGATTCCAATGTCGCTCAATTGGTGATGTTGCTGGTACTGCAGTAATATGCTCCGCTTGCACTACCGTTAAGAATATCCTTTCTGTCACGTCTAATTGGATTTTTTTGCTTCACTTGATATTGGAATGGGCCTTCGTTCCTTTCCGAAACTTCGATTCGAGTAAAACCTGATGTGATCCCAGCTTCGTGGGGTAATCACCACCTAGGTGAGACTCTGTGCCCGGTCTAGACTGGGTCCGTTGAGATTAAGCTCTGCAGGCCAAGATGATGGAGGACGTTGCATAGAGCTAGCTTAAGGTTAGCATACTCTTGGTTTATCCTAGACCTCACCATGTGGAATCATTCGCTTGCAGATGAGCTGATGAAGAGTAGGAACACTGGTTGATGCATTGGCTGTGCTCTGTAAATTCTCACTTCTCTTGATACCTGAATATGGTGTTGCTCGTAGGCGTATACCAAGCAAACCGGAATCTGCAATGGCATATATAGACTGAAATGTGCACGGCGTAAATATTGCGTTACTCCCATCTTGAGGTGAGTATCCCTCAGGCCCACGCCCAACAGAAGAGAGACCTGGACCTTTTCTGATATCTACGTACTGAAAACTAGCTGCAGAGCTGGTAGGAGAGGTACACAGCATAGCCTTCGTCTGTTTACCTACTGCATTCCCTTGCCAAACATATTACGTATATTCACGCGGAAATTCCATTTTCTTCCGACCAGCATACACATAGAGCTTCACGGCATATTCCACGACACTAGAGCAAGGAAAGGTACAGTATCAGACTTTAAATACGTTACCCTTTTTCTGCCAGACTCAGGAAATACTTTTGTAGTCATATTGATAATCGGCTCCCTGTACGGTTTTGATGCAAGAAAATGTTACAAGTAAATGATGGTTAGCCTCTGTCAGAGACTGAAGTTTCTCGCTGCTCCAAACAGACACCAGGGTTAGACTACACCAGAGCTTCCTGGCTCGATGTGACACGATCACAGAAAGGCGTATGCCCCGGTGCCTCAAGATCATAACCGAGGCGGCCTGTTGATTGGGGAGGATGGCAGCTGCTCCTGGGCCCGACATGTCCTTCGCCAACTGTCTTGCCGTGTTTGAGTTTCCGCAATAGCTGTTTGAATACGGGGATGCATGTGATTATAATTCCGACGCATTGCACAATCTGAACCAGAACTACCGAAATCCAGATGTCAAATAGAGGGTTCCTTGAGTTCATCGCGCGTCTATAATAGTACATATGGCATGCAGCAGGGAATAGAGACCTATTCTCCGTTAGCATGTCCTATTTCACATATCCGTTGGCTTCGCATTGATGCAGGACTTAACTACACACGTACAGGATGCGACAGAGAAAGAGACCGATGACTGTAAGTTTAGAGCGTAAGGCCATCTGTAGACACATCAAGATCCTCAGAAATGTTACAGTGACAAGCAAATCGGTGGTAATATGCAAAGCATCACTGCCAATCCTCAGAGCAATGACCTATTGAGTAAAGTTAGATAAAAGTACCACAATTCGATTTAAGCAGGACACATACAGTATTTTTGTCGCACTGGCCGTTGATATAATCCCAGAAATTTGGCAGTGGACAACTGAAGCTTCTCCCTAGGACGGAGAATGCCGCCCAAGTGACAGTCAAGATGGTGCTGAGCATCAGGCATGTCCGAGTTTCTCGGGATCTGTCTCCCAAGGATCGCATCAGGGCAACAGCCGAAAGCTTCGAAGCGGACAAGGAGGCGATGAAAAGAATATCAGATGCATATTGAGCCTTAGACAGAGTCTTCTGTGAGTTGACATGGAAGGAGTCGATGCGCGAAGAAGGCTGCTTACCTGCAGAGCGTGAGACTCCTCCAAAGGTGTAACATCATGAGGTTTACCCAGTCCATTGGCCGCTGCCATCAGTGACACCACAATTGATTGTGGGATCATTAGAACCTGTGGCCAATAGTCAATAGATGCATTCGTGATAGGAGGATGGGGTGCCTCTATGGATAAGGCATAGGGTACAGAAACTACCGTGGATATAATTAAGAAGAGGTCATCAAGCGTATGGAGATTCGACCACTTCACTCCTGCATCTGACATGACGCGCCCAGTGGAACGAAGTAGCACGGAAAAGATGGAAATCATCATCAAAGCCAGCGAGGCAGCTTGAATAAGCCGCGATTTGTCCGTCGGTATCTCATAGTCTTTTGTCAAGATCATTGCAGTTATGTCGAATGGATATGAGAAGAGGTTGTTTGATAAGCTCAGGACCAAGTGCGTTGTCAAGACTCGTATACAGCCCTGTGGTTCTCGTTCGGGAGTATCGGGTCTAGAATAGCGTAGATGCTGAATGTGTACGGAGCAGGGGAAGAAGAAATGCAGTGAATGGACCCTTGTTATGCTGTCGGTCCGTAGGATGGACCATCAAAGTTCCGGCGCACTCCTTACATGGTGCCTTACCTGTCCCCGAGATGAGTAGCAACCTATCCATTGCTAGGTTTCTATGGTACGCCCCAGTGACAAACAGGAGATGTCGGCTCGAGTTTCGGCTGGAAACGCCTCAGGCAAACCCTTGTACAATAAGTATTTCTGATTCGCTCTTTACTCAAACGATCGAACAGCCATATCATCTAGCCTATCAGACTACATAAGCACTGGAAGGAGTAGCGACAAAAAAAAGGCTTCATCACACAGACCCTTGCATCATAGGGGAGTCCTGATGTATCATTACCTAGTGGCTGACTCGCCGAGTCGTGGACTCCTTTGAGGTCGCTTCAGCCTTTTGATGGCTAACGTTTTGCTCTAGTGTTGATGTGACGTTGGCGAGTAGAAGCACAGCCCCCCGGTCGACCGTCAGATCTTGGCCATCTCCGACAAGATGAACCTTGCAAAATGGTAAGATTGGGGAACTTCACCAACATATAGCTGCTGACAGCAGGTCCTCTGATTGGCAACTTCCACGTTGACTTCCTGATGCGGACTTGCCGTTTTCGACAGGGGTTTGATTGGTGACTTCCACATTGACTTCCTAATTTGAGGCATAGCTCCTGGCAGCCGGTGGGGAGTTGATTTAGCTTCTCAACATAGAAATGAGGCATTTTTCTTCCACGCCCCCCCACTCAGACAACCACCTCAAACATCCACGCAATGCTATAAAATGAGCGGCTCATCAACCCCCCGGGGCTGCGGGAACCCATCCGTGGGATCCTTTAGTAAGTTTGATCCCAAGCTAGCCCCTGGTCATGACCGTGCCCGTCAACGGACCCATGAATCTACCTGGGTCAAGCTTGTCGAGGCTGTGCCAAAGGACGAGGAGGACTGGCGCTTAGCAAGGCAGAGTCATGCCTTCAGCAACCCGGAGGAGATGGTGAAGACATTAGAAGATCTCCTTGATGGTAGAAAGAAGTCTCAGCTTTACAAGATCGTCTACCTAGCAAGTCGTTACGCCATCCTTAATGGCGATCCCTCCCGGACGGAAGCGATATACTCTGACCTCCGAGAGTGCCTGGACAATCCCAACCTTGAGGACAATATGTTGGACATTTACATGGCCTCGGTAGTGAAGTTTATCAAAGCCCTCGATGACTTATTCTTGAAGGGTCTCTTGCACCGCGCTTTTGAACTTGTCCTTTACAGTAAGTTTTGTCATATATTGCCTTCATGTAAGATAGGAGAAGGAAGCTGGCATAAACGAAAACACCTCTTATTGCTCTCTTCCTAACAATGCACGACTTAGTACCGATCAACATTTCACACTTGCGTCTTTACGGACCCCACAAAGAACGATTTAGTACTTGCTTCTCAATCCAGAAGCCTCCCGCCGAAATCCAAGGATCTCTACTACTTTCTATTCCCTTCCTAGTCCACTATTTGGTCCCCGAGCTCAGGTAGGATCTACATAGCATGTTTGTTTCAATGACCAACAATTCTCCACAGCCTCACCAGCATCCAGAATGCTTTTGGCACCACGATACATAGTCCTGCAGAATATCGCGTCTTCGAGGGCGCATTGCAAGGCCTATACATGCTTCCTCGACTTCCGCCGCGTCCCATTGAAGTCTTGAACATACCCCAGAGTCTGCTATCGGGCATATCAGAACTGGTGACAAAACTTCGTGGGTATAACCCCAGGCCATCATATGTTCCATCGAACACTGATATGTATTGCTACCAATGGCCAGACGAAAAGGGTTGTCTAACAGATGAATTGTGGAATGTCTTGGTAAGATCCCTTCGTCTTTCCCTCTGGCAATCTACTCATCCATCAGACCAGCCAAAGCCCTCTCAAAGAAGGAGAACATCGCCTCAGTAAGCTATATGCAATACATCACGACAAAGGACGTCTCCCCACTCCGGAACGCCATGTACATGTTCTTGTACCTGTAATTGACGCACCTGTTGCTGTATCCCGGGTTTCGCCGGATCCAGGTGTGCACGATAGAAAATGGAGACATCAGTGGGAAGCTGAGCAATGCATCGTCATGCAGCCGGGCACAGTTTTACTGCCGGAACAACCTGTCGATTACTTAGCCTTGTTATTCCTGATAACAAGCACCGATCTTGTTCACAGAGCAGTAGTCAGGCCATAATTGAGGTCCATGCTACCCAGGAAAGTTAGTCCGCAATGTTTTGGCAGAGTAAATCGTTCCCTGGAATTTTGTCTTTCGAGCGAACGAGTGGTCTGTCGATGTTATCTGTATACCGAGGCCAGCGTACTTCTACTGTATGACAGTGGCAGGGAAAGAAATCGTTGATGACTCCATCCCCAAGTCCTGAAGAGAGGCACAGAGGTGGCAAAAGAGCGAGATGTTGTCAAGCATGTTTCCGATCATGAGGATTCTCTTGCGAGCTGAATATAAGAAGTTGGAGTGGGAAGAGAGCTGTAGGGGAGGTCAATGAGGGGACGGAAACAGATTGGTAGCCAGAGGAAAGGATCTAGAGTGAGAGAGACGAGGAACGAATGCCAGTAGACTGATTGGAGCGAAGAGGAAGTGGAGGAAATATCAAGAGCAACTTACACTTCCTGTACTTACACAACAAGAGAGCCTCGTCTTATCAGGCAGGGCAAGCAGGGCAAGCTAAGAAGTGTTCTTCAAGGTAGCTCTACTCGTCAGGCCCGCTTCTTCGTTAAGGACACCTCTCTCAAGTCAGAACAAGATATTGCAACAGAGCCCTAGATAATCAATTTTGCCTCACCTGCAGTGAAAGCGCGATGTGCCACTACTAGTCAAAGGGATGAAGCATCTATGAATTTGTGTAACTGAGCAGATCGACTCACGATTCGTTTGACAACGCTTATTCTCAGCCCACCAGTTCTCAAGGCATCCTCCAAGCTAATCCACAAGACATAAAATTCGCAATCTGACCATCCTTTTCCATCTCACAACCTCTTCGTCACCTTCAGAACTATCGCACGTCCAACATCAGTTCTCCTATCCGCAAACCTATTTATCACGGATCGCGTCATTTGTTTCAACGTTGGCGTTGACTCAGACAACTTGGCCGCGGCTAAGGCTTTATTCAACGTCACATACAAGAGATTAAATACCTCCGTTCTTTGGACTCTAGAGCCTAACCAGGTCTACTTTGGACTATCTATGGCAGAGGCTGATAAGGATAGGTGGAAAGATTTGATAACTCGGTACCTTCTATCCCAGAAGAGCCTTTACAAATGCCTTTTGAACGGATCTCTTAAGTAGAACGTCGATATTATTCTAGATCTGACGCCAGGTGACTGTGAAATTGTAAGCTTTCTGTTCAAAACTGGATACCAACAGCGTTGACCATGAAATTAGCTTGGAAAGGCAGTAAAGTCCAAGTATGGCCCAGTCGAAGATGCTACAGTGCATGTACGCCCAAGTGCACTCTGAGTGGCCCAATAATGGCCAGAATGAAGTTCTCGTGGACTATGAGTCTTCGTCGGACATCGGAAACCCAGCGAATCATCACCTACATCACCATGAAGAACTTGCTGACCGGAGCGAACAAGAGGTAAGGGCATAAAACAGCATTCTGACAAAAGTGGGCGATTCCGCCAGTCGAGCCGTTGAGATCCGGGGCCGGTATGACAGATGTATCCGGCGACTTAAGAACAAGATATGCACCTCAAAAACGGCCAGGGAACAACTTCTGAAAGTTGTAGTGGGCATATATTGGAGGCACTCTTTTTGACGGAATTTCCAGTGCCCATATCCTAGTGGAGATATTCCAGCTCCACGCAATAAGCCCTTTATGAGACAGCTTAGACTAAGAAATCCATCTTTTAATTATCATAGCTGGCTACCATCCTAACGAGCGGCGACGTTGAGAGCTTTCAAATGGAAGAATGAAAGGTGGCAAGACAGATGGAAGAGGGATGACAGGAATACAGTTCGTCATAAGGGATTGAAGCTAGCTAGAATAATATTAGTTGCTTTCATTTTCCAGTGTGTTGACTTGATTTGTCTCGTCGAAATGTCATAAGCTTTAATTATCAGTTACTCAACCGTATGAATACAACAACTGCAACATATCTTGAGCGAAAATCGGTTCTTAGGTCGTTCGATCACAGTTACAGAGACATCAAAAGACTTACCATGGGTAACAGTATTGACAGCGATATTCCCGCAACAGTTCGAGAACTACTGGGCAGACGGCCAACATAGACATTAAACACCTTGACCACATGGAGTGAATGGTAAAGCCAAAACCAAAGAAACCAAGGTAAGATGCTATAATGAATGAGCGTATAGAGTCGATAGCTAGGGAGACCCTGAAAAACGAACCTGGATGACAACTCCTTCTTACGCGTTACCCTAGAGACTCAACACAACAATTTATCACCTAGCAATTTATCACCTAACCATTTATCACCTAACCATTTATCATCTAACCATTTATCACCTAACCATTTATCACCTAACCATTTATCACCTAACCATTTATTGACTTGCTAGAAAGCGTATTATCTAAGAATTTATCACATTGGAATTTATTGGCCTAAAAATCTCAACAATAACAAGATTCAGCTGTTATTTTCTTTTCAACACTCATGCGACTAATTATTACAAAATGTTAACTTTTTTTATCTGTGCTCAGCAAAGCCTAATGACACCGCATTCGTGGCAAATGTTGCCAAAAGGAAAACGGGAACTCTCGTGTCCTTGATCCCTGGGATGTAACATATAGACATGCCTTTCTAGGCATCCGGGCGGAAAGCTAGCCTGGCCATATCATGATGCAAGCCGAGATTTTTGTTAATCCACTACCGTGTATGTGTTGCAGTGAAGCCAAGGCACCCTGGGTGCTCGAGGCCTATTCTATGTGAAGCGAGTAATGATGTTGTCATCAGGATGAATACAAAAGACGAGCAAGTCGAACCTAATGGCAACTTCCGGGTCGGACCAAGAATATATAGCGCCTCTGTTTTATGGGCCTTCTACCACATTCAACAGGTGGATTAAAATGCCGACCGTAATTGAACAGGCGATAAGGCGTAGGTGTAGCTGCTTCTAGGACATGAGGATAGATAAAAAATATAGATGAGGAGAAGGACGGGGAACATAAGCGCTGGCAACACTGGCTTAAGTCGTTGTTACTAGTCCTCGAGGCCAAAAGTTGCTAGCTGTACATCGTGGAAAATTTAGATGTCTTGTCGGCACATTTCAGACTTTACGGGAGGCTGATGGCTTTATAAAGTTGGTAATACAGACAAACTTCAACCAATGAGATCACTGCAAGGGATGCGGGGGTCGGAAGATGACAAGGCAAGTGGTCTGAACTGTTGGGGGCGGGCACGCTTGGTATGAGCCGATGTCTTATGAGTAATCAGCCCGGACCCGGACCTGCGTGTTCCGTATCCGGAATTGATCTAAGCGAAGATATTGGGATGAAGTCAAACTCCTGCTCATGTCACGGAGCTAGCCGATGAATCATGGGTCGATGACAGACGCTAGGTCAATCGAGCCGCTTATGGGAGCTGTACATTCAAGTGTGGGTTACACCTGGATCCTGGACCGTTGCATTCATCCCTCTTACTACCAATTTGGCCAAAGGCGGGATCGGCTACTGGTCAGAAGGCTGGTATATGCTCAAGCTCCTCATTTATTGAGCAATTGAGCTCCTGTATCCTCCGTAAAGGGGGGTCACTAACAAAAGCTTTAGTGTTTCAGGTGTATATTTAGATCCCTAGACTCGGCGGTAGCACCACTGGAACTAGCGGCCGTGTCGCTTCCATTGCTGCGCTGGGCGCTTAACGCTAAGTATGAGCAGTACTTATATCTAGACAAGTCGGAAGGCATATGTTCTCGTACTTCTTACATCCCTTTCCTTCTTCCCATTCTCACCATCCTCCGCAATTTATGTCGAATATCTTCTTTCAAGAATACATGATGGCGACAGTCAGATTCGATGATAGCTTTATGTTAATTTTATGGTTTAACAATTTCCATATTTCGCAGTGGCACGAGCACGATTTGTCACAGGCAAGGGGATTCATACGGCCAAAACCAACAAAGTCTTCACGCTTTACCCCGTACACAAAGGCAACTCGAAGTGATCGACATGGACAGAGACTAGGGGTCTCTCCTACGCGACGAGGGCAAATCCGGCGGACGAAAAAGCTAAAGGGGAGAAGTTGCGGTCAGATCACGATATGAGCCTGAGTCGGATAGCCACCGCCCCCGAGAGGAGAATCAAGAGAAGGGGACATCGGATTTTGAATGGTGGCGTTGCATTAACTACAGCATATTGCCAATGGCTGTATCGTTGTGCTTGTGATGCACTGTTACGTTCGAAGTGAAGTGGTAGCCAATGGGGAGTAATTCTATTGCAGCTTGGTGATCTGCTGGAAGCCGTTTGTTGGGAGATGCATTCATCGTTTTATAGAGTAGGCTTCTTCATTGACGAGTCTACAGTGGAACAGACAAATTTATTCGGCAATAAGGCTTGATTAGCCTCAAGATACAAGGCTGGCACCAAACCTTATTTGCTGGCGTCCATGATACCAGAAGGGGTGACATAGAAATCCAAGGCGGCGATGATGTGAAGACCCATCAGCATAGCTCCCTCGAGATACGTGGACTCGCTTTTTTAATGGTGTCGTCAAATCCTTGTTCTTGGACACGTTCCACCACTGCCTTTATATCCCTGAGTGTGGGACGACCGAAGCCCTTTATTATCCCCTTGATGTCTGGCCAAGGCACCGAGGCCATCTGCTCCAACTCCTTGAAAAGATTATTTTTATCTCTTTGGTACGAGGTCTTACTGGTGGCATTTCAGCTTTTCGAAGCCTTATTAAGAGACATTTAGATAAGAATTACTTCAAGACAGGAGATGCCAGCAAATATCAGCAAATGTTGCCAGAAGTATGACGCTGGGACTGGTTTGCTTGCTTGCGATGGCAGAGCGAAGTAATAGAATATGTAAAAGGGGGCTAGGCAAAATATTTCCCGTTAGTAGTTGGAGCTTATAATATCTCAATGAGATATATCGTCTTCCTGCACCTTAATATATATTATATTAGATACCGGAGGCGCATATCAAAGCCTTACTCTGCCCACCTTACTATATCGCACCTCTTGCTGGCGATGCCAAAATAGTCGCCCTATAGCAATGCAACCCCATACGGTGACCCTAGCCGAAGAACACAACCGTGGTCGCGTGAGTTTCGCTTTATAAATCTATTGTACTTAAGGAAAATTGCCTCTTCTTCGCGTTTGGTAACTATAGTTACTCTATACCCCAGCAAGTTTCAAAAACAACTACTCGTAAACCGACCACGTAGCCAATCCTTGATTTACCAGAAGCCTATCACTCCAGGCCGGTGACATCAACCTCTTCTTTCCCATCAAGCCTTTTTGTGACTTTATACGCATCCGAGATGGCCCTATCTGATACCTGGCCGCCCAGCTTAATGCATTGGCGCTCAATTGACTCTGCGGAATAAGGTCAGCCAGTCTCTCTCATCAAGGGGCTTGGTTAGTATACCACAAGAAGCGTATCGAAATTTGAAGACAGCAACTAGAGGGAGATTCACACCTAGGAGAGCAATGTACTGGAACTACCCCGTTTTCCATACAAGCGAGCCATGTATTTGAAAGTCTTTTTCTAAATCTATCAACCCGTAAACTGAGTTGCACGGTCTGCGGCTTTCGACCAGGTAGTGGCACTCCTATTGCTGGTTGCGTCCAGTGAGGTTAAACATTAGAGCAAGGGGAGTCGGCAAGGGCAATTCTTAATATGATGTTGTTCGTTAGTGAGAGCTTGTTTCCTGTCTATTGGCCTTAGAGACCTAGCATATGGTTCTGAATCCATGGGGTGTTGACGTGGGATAAAACAAGCATCTCTGTCAAGGGCTTATGGTCAGGCGTTTTGAGTGAATGAGATATCCATGTTTCACATGATAAAGAATTGGCTCCCTTGTCCAAAACTCGACGAGAGACATCAAGAACGGTTCATGTAATACAGAAAGAAAAGAGTCATATTTTATCTTTAAAAAAACGGTTTGCTCAGTGAACTGTAGTTTCAGCCGGTAATTAACATTGCGAATACATCACAGGTTCGTCTTTTTTTCCCGATCGTCAGTCAGGAGCACCGAACAGAGCCACAGGTCACTTAGAACAATTTGTTTATATGCTGCCATCCTCCCAAAGCCGCACTCGCTATACATCCTCGCCTGACCCGTGATTTGCAGCCGCCTTTTGTGTTCGAGACAATGCATCGCAGTCACCATGAGCAGGAGAATCTTTTCGGCTTCATGAGTCAAACCCCTCAGAGCTCAGGTGCGATTCATCTATTCAAAATGATACCAGTCGCTAATCCTTAGTTCCCAAGATAACGATGAAATAAGCAATGATGAAAGTGACAGCCCGGGAAGTCTAGATGAGTTTGTAGTACTCGATTCAGAAGTAGAAACCGGATCATCCGCGCCAGACACTCCGACTGCTCTGAAGTCTCCAATGAGCCAGCGATACTGCCGGAATAAGCTATTGACGGGAAGGAAGTCGTCATTTCATAATAATATGCTGAGCTCACCAGACCTGCGCCCAACGCTTAGCCCCAGTTCTCGAAAAGAGAAGGGCAGACTGAAACAACACATGCTCCAGAACACAGCATTAACAGACACGATCGAGGAGGCCCTCACAGCCCTCTAGGCGTTGATTAGGGCTCTCCGTGATATTCATTCAGAAGAACAGTCATCAGATGAAAGTAGTTAGCGGTGCTTAAGGGGTTGAATTTGTGCCCGGCTATAGTGTCAGGTGGACCTCAGCCGTGCTCTATGGCCGGCGAACTCGTATGCATAGCATTAGTTTCCACAAATCTCAATTTGCTAGGCAGCTAATCGAGGCGCATCCTTCATTCCTGTTGATTTTGCTTTTCAAATGCTGGGTTACCATCAGGGCGATGTCAATCCTCTCTTATCCTACGCCGTTCCAGTGGGTCTCTTTTAAATGATGACATGCCAACAGCCGATGGAAGCTCCCTTAGTTTTTGGTGTATCTTGTCTGTAAAAAGTGCGAAAACCCTCGATAAACACCGACAAGAGCCTTGGAGCCCTCCCTGTATGCCTAGCTATGCTCCGTTACTCCAAACAGCTTCCTTCTTTTCCTTTCGCTTCTTCAACTTTATCCAGAACGACACGCAGGGATTTCTTTATCTTCCAGTATCTTCCTTCAGAACAATTGCTTTGAAAACCCTAATCCTAACCCTAAAAATCAACAATTGGTTCCAAATTTCTTCATGAGTTCCTGACCCCAACGTGGTAAATAGGGATTGTGTCACGATGAATGCCAAATCGTTACATCAGTTGTCAAGTTATAGTGATTATCCAATTGCAGAAATCCCTTTCTCCTATCTTCCGCTACTTTACTATCGGTAAGTTACTCTCCAATACCTTCTTCACATTGTCAACTATCATTTTGACAGTCCATTTTCGATTTAGAGTAACATGCTCACGCTTGGGGTTCCGGGGAAATGTGAGATCAATGGTGGGAGGCACCTTTCCCAAACTCTTTGAGCATCGATATTGCTCCTTAATCCAATTCAATACACCTTCAATTGCCTTGCGAGGTGGCCATTGACATGGCTCGGACGCACAATAACAAACGCCTTGGTCATGTTGTTGTTTATTGAACCTGACACGTATGGAGGTGGGAGGGTCCGTCGGGTGGTACTGAAAGGTTATGGGGTCGTCTTTCTTGATCAGCTTGGAAGCAACCAAGAAGAGAGCTAGGCCATTGCTGTACTGCCATTCCTGCAATTCACAGTTTGGTTGGCAACTGTGATTCGCGTATTTGGCCTTGATTTCATGGTTTGCTGCATCGAGAAAGAGATCACCATGCTTCAACTTTACCACATAGTGGCCCTATCTGTAGTTAGAAAGCTGTGTCAAGGAGGGGAGAATATCTACCTCGGTAATTTCATTATCATTTCCATTTCGAAGCTGACGCAGATCGTCCCCAAGGATCGGTGATCCAGAGTATTGTGCAAGCTTAGCACCCTTTTGAGCATCATCACCACAAAGATACAACCCCTTTCCGTTGTTCTCAGTTTCACTTTCCTGAAGATAACCCTTTTCTTCTAGAGTTGAATGATTTTTGCAATCCCTGGCGTTGCATGTTTGGTCGTCACACAAAATCAACGCCTCGACATTGATACAACCACTATCACACAAGGCGCTGCACTCGCACTTACCGTAAGCCTTGTGCCTTTCATTCATCCTTTCCCATTCCGACTGAGCAGCTTTCTCTGAATGATTCAGTGATAACGTTCTTGGAGGTAGGCCATGACTTAGTTTCTCAATATCAACGGCATCCCGCGCATCATCGGGGTCATCTTGCAAGAACGTGTTAGTGCTGCCCGTTCCAATGCGACATACGAGACTCCTAGATGAGCGCCCGGCTGGTAGCTACTTACCCATAACTGGTGTTTGAGATGAGCCTTGCTTGTCATTTCCACTAGGCAACTGTTCAGATACCATGGAGTCCCAACAATGTCGAAGTTCACTGTCACCAGAATTAGTTCCCAGCTGCCACGGTAAGTCGCAGAAGCACACTTACCACTCTTCCGTTTTGGCCATGTCTATACCTCTCTCTTTGCAAAAGTACAAAAAGCGTTTTATTGTTCTTTTTCGTTTGAAAGTCGCCATAACATCGCCTCGGGGCTTGCCATCCATAGCAGCTCCTTCTGTACTCTTCATAATGATTCGGACGTGACGCGACTTGATGTCCGACATCATCTTTTCTATCTTTGCGGGATATACATTGAAATCAATCTCATCCCTGAATAAGCCCCATTCTACGGGTTCACATTCCTTAAGTAACTGAAGTTGAAAACATTGTATATCATCCTGCCACGTCCAATACTGCGTGACGTTCTTGTGGCTCGTGTATAGACGAGTTTTAACCTGAGAAAGACGCCAATCATACTTCGTAATGCTGCCGCCACTGTATGAGTCCGTATCAGACCAAGTCTTGGAATCAAATTCATCCAATATCTGGCCGCTTGCAGGGAAGAGACAGACTCCCTTGTTGGTGAGGGAGCCCCCGCCAAGTACAGTAGATTGTAACTGCGCCGAGCCTCGTTTTCTCTGGGAACTGGGTATATGACTGCGGCTATCCCCGCTCCCAGTTTCTTTTCTCGCTCTAGGCAGAGGTTGTTTGGTAATGAGTCGATTCTTTTTTCGAAGCTGGACGAACTTCTTAGATTCCCCATCCATTCTATTTTGGCTGGCTCGCCTCTCATTGATGTTTCTGGCCAGAAGATGACCGTCTTGTCTTGTGAGATTGTCCCGGAATTTTCTCCTTGCTGCCATGTTTCGAAAAGACTCTGTTGTTTATTGCTCTACAGTTGTGGCGTAGGAACGAGGAACACTTGCTGAGACGAAGAACTAAATTGAAAGAGTCCCCGACACAGGTAAAATAAATAGATGATATAGAGTATACCAAAGCTTCGGAGGGCCGTATGGAGTATTCAAGTGACAGCTCGGAAATAAAAGATAACGAGTCTGCGTTGCCTGATGGAAGGAGATGGGTTAGAGGATTTATCATAACTAAATACGCTCTGAGCCGTCAAGTAGTGTGGAAAATCATGTGTGCATCGTTAGAGTTAGCGTTAGATTCTGTATCTAACAATTCTCCACTACCCCTATTCCACTTGAACTTTATTTATTTCTGAAGAGTGCGATATCTGCAGCACGTTTAAAAGGTCCGCCTGTGTAAGTGATCACGCAGGGTTCGAAACATATGTAGGCTACAGCGTCAATCGCACAGCTGGCTCTCTGATAGCGGAAACGACAAATATGTCTCAATCAAAAAGCAATAAACTGCTTAGATTGATATCGTCAAGCTCAGCGGCGCCCCCGAGCGATTCAGTAACCTGACAGAAGAAGTCACCAGCCAATCGCAAGCGAAAGCGGGGTGTGACGTACTGACAATTGCACGTGCTGCAGGGTAAGGATCCTTGCTCCTGCATTGAGCATGCAAGGATGAGCCTGCATTGCTGGCCCTAAGATAACCGAAGTGTGAACATCGCCTTGCCCAAGGATGCGTGATGACAAAACCGTCGGCCCATTCGCCTTAGTCAAGGCTGTTGGTTCATCAACCAACCGACACCTCAATATGTGCCTCACTTAACTCCAAGGCCAACGAATGGCTTGGCAGGTAACTTCTTAAATTAGCAGACAGGCAGCAATGTCTTTAGGCTTTAGTTCTTCATCCTTTCCCCCCCACGTCGCTCCATTACTACTTGGTTCTTGACCGACTATCTACGCTATTCTTCTCGTCTCAACTACTGGTCGTTAGCCCTCTATTGGGTGCCTGAAACCCCTTGGCCATGTGCTACTTTGAACAAACTCGCCGGGCATTCGGCTACTGGCGTTGGGGTCACTTCCGCCAGCAGTGCAACAAAGAATACCGCATGGGCGAAACCTGCGGCCTGAAGCTTGTCTACGAAACCAGGACCGAAAGAGACGTTTGCAAGCTCTGCCACGACACAGAGAAGAAGCAGCGCAGGTATGACAAGATGTATCGAGACGTTCAGCGCTGGCAGAGGGAGGGCAACCGAAATGCCACCATTGAGCGAACGTGTGCTGAGATGCAAGAAGCACTTGGCCAAATCTATCGTATGAGAGAGGAGCATGATCACAGGCTGCAATCTCTTGGCCAGGTGAGTGAAACATGGCTTGCGTTCCTTTGTGTCTTGTCGTATCGGGTGAAGAATTGCGCCCAAGTAGGAAAGACGGCCGAGGAAGGAGGCCGAACTGAACGAAGGATACGTATTGAGGCACACCGACAGCCAGGGCAAAAAAGGGTGTGTTTCGTAGGGATGGCGCTATGGTTTTTGTCAATGCTGCCAGTGTCGCGCCATGGCATAGAGTGTGAAGGGAAAGGAAATATGGACGGCTGACACATCTGTAGTGAATGCGCGAAATCTCAGCGAGTTCGACATCCCTGAAAGAGTAGCTAATATCAAACTGTGGGGCTCTAATGGGGTGTCGAGACATGATAAAATGCAGGCACGCATCGAAGATACAGTACTACGGGGTCTGAAGATGAGTCCAGTCAACGTCCTGTAGCCGATTTGTGGGATGGATTGGCCTGAATGAGGGTTCTTGTTATCCCGTTTCTTTTCACGCTCTCTACCCAGCTGGCTGAACATGATGATAATTCAGAAAAGCAGAGATTGTGCAGAACGGAGACCCTCGAGAGGCAGACAGGTTACACAGGAACGACAGGATGGGGCACTCTGACTGGACTAGTACAGTGAAGAGAGTTGGGTTCATCATAAAGTGGGCTAACAAGATAACATGACCACGGGGGGGTCTGCAGTGATGGTTCATGTCCTTTGGGCCGAGTTTGGAATGCTATGGAGTCCAGAAGAGATCCGTGTCTGGCGGCCTGGCTATGCTTCGAGGCTGGATATCCAAACTCAGCTCCATGCGTGGGTCATTATCAGATGTGTGAGAGATAGCCCTTTATTCCTGTAATTTGCCATGCCTTGTTCTAAAGATGTGGAGTATTCTGTCGTGCTGCCTCCTCGGCTTTTTCTTTCTACTGACGTTGGTGGTGTCTGCGCACTAGGGCTTCTGTTGGTCTTGAGCGCCGATATGAGGGGTTGGTTCCCATCCTTGTCGGAAACGCTAATCAATTCCGCCGCAAGGAGGAGACATGTACCTGGACTGCACGGGACAAGTGCATTGCATATGCACAATTGAGCGTCTATGCAAGACAGCAGGTATTGGTACAAGCAACCCTGTCCCATGTCGCGCATCCCAAAAGTGGCGCGGGACAATTTGAATGGGGCATCCCGGTCTGCGGATTTGCCGATTCGTCCATCGCTGTAATTACGACGCTAGTGCAAAGACGAGCTACGTTTACTTTTGGGGGGTAAATCGGGTGAGAAAAGAGACAAGTGCTGCTGGAACGAGACAAGGGTCGGCTGTCATTGATGTCTTTCCGCAAGGGTATTTGCGCCAGACAACACTTTGTTTCCGAGACATTTAAGATCCGGCCTGAACACAGAGCAATCAATCTCACCTGTCAACTTTCTTGATGAAATTGGAATCTCTGCACCTCACAACTTATTCCTTTTCACGCTTCCTTACATTTGAACACGTCAATTTGACATATCGATATCACTCCACAGCCCGAATCAGATCCCCACGAGATGGCTATGGATTCTCTCAAGAACCTAGTCAACAACGTCCCAGACTGGCTACAGCGACTTGATGATTTCAGTGGCCAGAAGGACCGGCGCCAGGCTCAGCTGGCCGCTGTTGCTGCCGCTGAAGGAAAGAGTGCGGAGAGGAAGTCCCTTCGCAACAAAGGCTCGACCGAATCCCTTAATCCCAAAGATCACCCTCCCGTGGTCCATGCCGAGCCTCCCGCGAACGAAGACATTCTCGATGCTGCTACCCCCGAAAACAAAATACAAACACCGGTTAATGCCGAAGCCCTTGTGGAGGATGGTTGGGATACCGTCACGTTAGTTGATACGGATGAGGTCCAAGTTGTCTGTTACTCGCCGCACGAAAACGTCGAGCTTCATGACGCCACCGAAAACACAGCGAACACATCAGAAGAGCTCGAAGTTCCTCAATTACATCCACCCCATCCGAGCTGCATTAACAACCAAATAAATACCGCAACGAAGAGACACCTTCGGGGCGAATATGATGACGGCGAAAGGACAAGAGGGGGCAGATCAGCGAAAGTTGAAGATGTCCCTCCTTCGTACGCGGAGGTCGTGTGCGAATGTGCTGCTGCCGAGAGTAAAAGGCAAACGCCCGTTAACATCGAAGACCACGGGGTACACACAAAAAGCTCCGGCCCCAGTCGCCAGCAACAAAAGACTATCAAGGTCGCGCAAGCCAAGGCAGGACCTCAGGTTAGGAAGACGCCAAAGTCGCCATCCATGATGTCCAACGAAGATGCTCCAGTCGCCTGCCAGACTCGAGATAAGATCATTGTCTACTACGATAGCTATGTACTAAGCTTCTTTGACGACCTTGTGAGGTTCGCTTCGTCGAGTCAAGACCTCATACGCAAGGCCAAGTTGGCCGCACGAATCGCCCACTGCAAGAGACTCGCCGAGCAGGACGTGCCGGAGGATGGAAATAATGACGACGCACTCCCTTCACTACGATATATGAGCAGCAGACGATTCGGACCCATGTCGATGCCGCTCCACGGCACTAAGAATCGACGATCTGACGCGTACGATAAGCTTGATAAGGGTCTCGAATTCGTGCAGAGCATGTGCGAGAATGGTGCTTATCAGTTCCTCTGCGATGGCGACTGCAATGATGAGATCAGCAAGGTGCAGAAGCGACTCACCGAAGTCCTCGAGATGGCCAAGACGGAGATGGAGCGCCTTGAGTGTGAAGAGCCGGAGCTGGCCAAGGAACGCCACGATATGATCGCTGGCCTGCAGGAAGACAGCCCAACAACTACAAAGCAGGATGGCAAGCTTGAGACTATGGATCAGATGGAAACAATAGAAGTCGATCCGAAATACGTAGGCCCAAATATCAACGAAACCGATGAGGGCATCTGCATGGAGTTGGAGCTCCCCTAACTACAGCATCGATCAACCCGGGCGATGCACAGTCGTTAGCCCTGAGTGTGTACGATACATGTTCGTACGACACTACAAATAAGATGTATTTTAGAATTGTTTCCTTACCAAGATGATCGTATCATAATTTATAGAGCTGTTCTGGTTCTTTGCATCTAACGTCTGACCTGCCTTGTTGTTTTGGCATCGTGACATCAATTATTGTCGCAGCTGAAGCGGCGCTAGGAGAGGCTGCAAAATGAAGGGAGGGCTCACAGCTCTCTGGATTCAGCAAGCATCACCAGGCATAAGCTTTTCCCCGGTCTCCAAAGCCTTAGAGACGTTGGATAGTGCACGCAGCTGGACGGAAAAGTAGATTAGAGGGAAAATCGACGAAAGGTGGCTAGTCAGGTTCATTGGAGTCGTTGAGCAGATCGTCTTGCCTCAGATTGAGCGCAGACTGGTGTGAGAAGTACCAAAGTCAAGTCTTGGCGTGATCAAGTGAGGAGATGGCTCTTCCTGAGAGTTTGTTGACCTCTTCTGCCTCCTGATCGCCAACCAGGACGCTCTCATCGGCTGCCCTCCGGATTTGTAGACCCCGCTTCCCCAGACGACGACCTCCAACCGGTGCTTCCTCGAATCACCCCAAACAAACTCACCAGCGCGTTGCCTCCCCTTAGCATAAGCAAGTTCGGAGAAAAGCGATTCTCTCTTCCAACAATAGGTTCAGTATTGGCACTCGAGTTAAAGATGTCTCACATGATTTGTTTCGCAATTCAGGTTTAGAAAAAATGCCAGCTCCATGCCAACACTCGCAAAACAAGAACAACAAAGCCGAACCTCAACCTGACACGCGTTTCTCAGCCGATTGACCAAACCTTGCGCTGTAACAGGCAACGGATACCAGGCCAGGTGCTAACTCTGACACAACAGCATCCGAATTGCTCTTTCAACTAATCTCCTACTTATTATTCTAGAAGAGGTGAGCACTGAACTATCTCCGCGACATCTTTTGCCTGTAGCTTACTGCACTCACGTCAAGGGCTTCAATTCCCTTGACCTGGCGAGAAGTCAACACAAAGACCTTCAACGACGCATCCGAATATTATAGACCGATCTGAACGAACAGACCGACAGCGATAACTACACCTACGCAGTAGAAGGGGCAGCAGCACCAACCGCCACAATCTCATATCGAACTCGTCATCGTTCCATGCGACGCGAATGACGTGGTCCCTCAAGGGAGCCCTCGAATCCTACGCCGAAATAATTTGCATGCTATCTACGGGAGTCTTTGTTGCGACAAGGACCCGCCCGCCCGATGGACAGCCACGGCAAAAAAGGCCAGTCGACATGAACTTGACGAGTGAATCCTTCCTTCGGCACCTTGCAGTGGACGCTCCAAAACTGCTTCTACGACGACCCCAGACGCGACCATGGGCCAACGAGCGATACGACATTATAGAATCCGTCCGTCACCGATTAACCCGTCTCGACGGGCCTTTGTAACCGCTGGCAGCCGAGATGAAGAAGATTTACATCGCCCTGTTCGTTCTTTGGCGAGCTCCGAAGTTGAACTCCCGAACGCCGACTCTGATGGTATATTAGGCATGCACACAGATGAATCCGTGGCTTTCCCAGTATATGGAGCTGGAGATCCAGCATGATGGTTCAATTTGCGCACCAACATCCCCTTTTCACCTCACGTCGCGACAAAGGTATCACCGGTAGCTACGGACTGAGCGGCTGGATGTTGAGGGCACAGGGCAGGAGCTTAGCATCCTGACTACTTAGCTAGTTCGAACCTCATCAATTACTCACTCTCTGCTTATTGTCCCGCTCGTGCCGCCTCGAGAGCGAACATCCCATCTCCTTCATCATTCCATCCAAGCATACAACAATTACCGTGACACCCGACACCAGGATAAAAAAGCTCCATTAACATCGATTATACTCAACTTCAGAGAAAAATAACACAAGAGTCTGAGAGAGGAAAAGAACACTATAAGCTGTGCTCAATATATCCGTTGCCCTACAGATTCATCGTCGAAAGACCCGAACCGTTCTCGATGTCACATAGCAGAGAATAACGTGGTTTGCATACCTGAAATGCGCAGCGATGCGCTTGAAACCCTCAAAACACAAGGTCCAAAGCATCAAGGCCTTCTGCGGGTGTCCTTTGTTGCCCACCCAGTTTCTGTGACTCAAGGCTGCCATTGACCAGTTCGTGGACTTTGCTCCTGTATACCTGGTCGAGGAGCTCGACCTTCCATTGCCCGCAAAGGTGGAAGCCTTTGTCCACTTGCTGAGAACGCCGCTGAGGATTGTCGTGATGGTGCGCCATAACCTTGCGCTGACATCGGGGGTAGTCCTCCAGGAGATACGATCGGGTGGCCACTCGCAGAAGCTCCGTACAGCGGCAAGGAGTATTCAGGATGATCATCAATTCGACGGCGCTGGGCTGGTCTCTCGCTCAATACCGCATCGCCTCCATACCCCATGAATCCAGATGGCCCTGATACCAGGGAACCGGCCTCTGCGTACGAGTTGCTTGTCTAGATGTTAGGACTCGGAGGCCCAGGGGCTAGGCCACTGATCGATGGAGTTTGTGTGACAATCTCTCGTAAACGATTACGGTCTTCACGGTAGAAGTCCCGCTGCTGAGTCTACGTCTCAATTCTTATCTTCATGGATTGCCTTTCATCCCGAAGCTCTTGCAACCGTTTAGAGTTCTCCTCCTGCTTAATCTTCTTCTTCCTTCTACGCCTCGTCGAGGCCATCGCGTTTCGGTGTCTCTTCTCATCTGCCTTTTTAGACGCCTGACAAAAGTCCATAGGAACTGGAATGGGCGTCGCACTTCCCGGAATCGTCATAAAAGCGTGCTATCGCTTGACACCAAAAAGGGATCTCCCCATATCATGTCTTGGTGGTTTTTCCGACCATGGCGAGCCGACCTCACTTGTGGGACCGTGAATGCGTAACGGCCGACCGGCCTGCGTGTTGGGAGAGGACGAAGCCTGAAGATACACCAGTGGTGGCTGCGGGCGACTCTGCGCGTGGTTTAGGGTTAAGGTAAAGGGGGGGGGGGCTTGTGTCCCAGGGGAAGCAATTGGCGCCTGTGAATGCAACCTACCTGGATCCGATGTTGCCGACGGAGGGCCAGGGCGTATTCCGGTCAGAGTATGGTTACTGAGATATTGTGTGTTCGCCCCTTCCGGCATTATACTTTCAAAGGGTCGCTTAGCAGGCGAGCCATGAAATAATGAAGGAGGCCGGCTATCAGGCTCGTGCGATGGGACATGGCTGACACTTGCAGCTTGGATACTGTGTCGGACTTGCTTTTGGCCTTGCGCTATTCACGGCGGGAGAGGGTAAAGCTGTTGGAGAGTCGCGTTCTAAGGAAGGGCCTCCGAGACGTGTCATCGGCTCTAACGGGGTAGCTGGAAGAACGACTGAAGCAGGGTGGCTCGTTGGGAAAGATCGTGCCCAGAGAAAGGGATGGGGCAGGAGTCCGACTGTATGGGTTGTTGTTGCATCATAGGGACAGGCTGCTGGAGAAGGAGGTACCACATCTGACGAATCGTCGGTCATATGTAAGTTCCCATGGCCAGTCTATTCTAGAACGTTTCGCAACGGGTAGGAGTCCCTACCCCGGCCGTACACGATCATAACGCGCCCGTTCTGCTGCTGGTAATAAATGCCTTCGTGCTCGATGTAGTGTTTTGTAAGTTCGTGAGTCGAGGGTCGTTCGAGCAGCGAGTCTGCCAAAGTCGTGTGATCAATGGGATTCGCGGGTTCTCCAGAGGTATTGGTGGGCCAGGCTCAACATCCAACTCAGCCTCGGCCATCATACGCAGTGGCACGGGATAGGATGGTGGATGACCAGGGCGGGTATCGTTATATTGCGGGCCTGTGTGAACCTCATTGTCGGGGCAAGGCTATGCTGGCGCACGCGCGTCTATTTGATATGTGAGATTGCAGATCACAACAGGATGTCGGATACAGTTCGGAGGTGGGCTGTGGGTAGCTAGGCACATAGCCGTTACTCGGTGTTGGGGGTACGGAAAGCGTGCCTTCGTAGCTCATGTGTCGCGTGGGAACTTTGGAGTATACTGCAGTGATGGAGGTGAATTTGATGCTGTTGCTGGTGCTGCTGTCGTGGGTACGAAGGCTTCTGCTGTTGTAGGTGGTAACCCATGAGCAATAATGTAGGACTCGAGCTTCTGGTGGCGACGATCTGGATTGTGATATGGCCATCCAGCCGCAGCATGAGAAAGCGTTGATGCGCTGAGGAATTTTCGATAGTTTGAATGAGGCAATGTCGATACACGCTCAGACGCATGTCAGAGGAGGATTAGCCCCTGGCTGTAATTAGTTGATGATGCTGTTAGTGATGTTCTTGAACCGGAAGATACAGTCTTACTTCGCAATGGCAACGATCGGGTTGCGGAGGCGCTGCATGCGAAGGTCTTGGCGATGCTAAGCAACTTCTGCGTTGACGAGACAGTACAGGTGGAGGAGGGCGGCAAGAGATGGCGTGTCGGTATGTACAGGCTCGGAAATGCGGATGTTGGGGCAAACCATTTTCGATGTGCCAGTTGCCTTGTGTGGGTGTCTCTCGGGTTTTCGCCGCCACGGTAGGGCTCTGCCTGCTTGTGCCCCCTGTCTCGTGAAGCGAAAGAGTGGGATAAGGATGATGCCGCACCAGGCGGTTGACGTCACGGAGCTTGTTGTGGTATTAATGTGTCTACGCATCAGGCCAAAGTTCATTTAGTAATTGCGAGCGGCGCGCCAGCCCTTGCAGTACAGTATCAGCATTAGCAGATATCAATTGCGGCTAACAAACTCCAGTGCAAGTGGAGGACTTTGTCCCAAAGAGTGCCACCCAGTCATAGTTGGTCTCAAATATACGTTCTGCAGATCCCATCTAATATTGGCATTCAATCATATTTCCCGTCCTTGCTCATCTCCAGACACTGAACCATCTTTCCATCTCCCTGTTTTAGAGCTAGCTCGTAAGA